TTTGAAGATAAAGAACTCCTAAAAGTATCTAGTACTCAACCCCTAATACTAAAAGAAAATTTTGGAGACACTATAGACAAAGATTTAGCCAACAAATCACATGCAATCAAATCCAAAACTTTTTATTTGGAAGAATTTACTTTCCACCATGCCAAAATGTCAAACTTTTCATCATAATAATTGACTAGCTATGCATTTAGATATTCCAACCTTGCAATTGGTTTATTTGGATGCATATTCATTGCAATGGCTAAGAAATATTGCATTGCAACATCAATAATTTTTTCAGAAGGTGAAGGAACTTGCTTCCCCTATCACTGGCACTGTTATTCCCCACCTTTGTAACAATTTCATGTAGTTCACCACCACTAACTGTAAGAGCTATTGTGCACTTATCAAATAAGTGATACAAAAGCCCCATAATTTTCTTTTTCATCGCTTCTCTATTGTGTAATCAGCAATAAAAATGTTTGAAAGCAACTTCAACATAAGAAAATTTGAATCTATAAGCAAGAATCACTACTATCAACTATACTGAATTCATGTTTTCCACCTTTTCCCAATACTTCTCATACTTACTTTGCATCCTTTCTGCCATGTCACTTAACAAAGAATTGGATTCAACTACAATTGAGTTTAGTCATGTCTTGATTGCAACTATATTTTGAAAGCATGTATTTAAACTTAATTTGATCTAGAAAATTAAACGGTCATAGTGTAGAACAAATCCAAAAAGGTGAGAAACTCCTTTGCAACACTCTAGTCATAGACATTAGGAAGTTTAATTGTACCTTCAACACCATCATAATTACCAAGTTCATCTTCATCCTCCATTTCCATTCTATCATCAACATAGCTTGATCTTGAAGATAGTTTAAATTTCTTTTTGAAGTGGTTCTTCTAATCTTCGTCTTTATCCTCCATCCTATAAAAAACCTTAGTGAACTTAACAACATTCTAGAATATGAGGTATGTTAAATTCCACTATTAAGATGAACAAAATATTTAAATATTAGGAGAAATTACATATTATAATGTAAATAATCACAATGTAATGATTATTTAAGTTACCTAGTAGGACAAACTATGTTGAAAAGACTTTTTGAATTGATTCTCAACTTTTTAACAAGCTCCTTAAATTTGCACAGCCTTCCTGAAGAAGATCTAACAAACTTGATTGCATGCTAAATGGGTTCAATAGATTGATTCTCATATTTAAGGGCCTCATAAACAATCAAATTAAAAACATGAACAATGTACTACATTTGTAAGAATTCTCCATCACATATTAGACCACCCAAATCCTTCAAACATTTTTTCAAAAACAAAATAGTAGAATCATTGGAAGAAGCCTTGTCAACTGCAATTACAAAGACTTTCTTAATACCCCAATAAAATAAGCATCCCCCAATTTCATTGCCAATGGTATCCTTTTTATGGTTTTCAACCATACAAAAATTCAAAAGTAGTTTTTGTAATGTCCATTCCTCATCAATCCAATGGGCAATCAGACACATGTAGTTAAAATTTTGTATTGAAGTCCAACAATTTGTGGTGAGTGACACACAAACTTTAGATTTATTAAAATATCTTTTCAAACTTTTTGCTTCTTCTAGATATATTTTGCAACACAACCTAGCCATAGTGGTATGTGATGGCCATGTAAATCTTGGTTCAAGCACTTTCAACATTTTTTTAAAACCATACCCTTCCACAACTCAAAACAACATCTCATCCAAGATGATGAATTGAGAAACTTCTTTTTTGCATCGCTCTGCAATGTAAGGGTAATGAGTCATTAATTTACCAAAATGAGTAGTGAACAAAGACTGCCCCACCTTGGCTTTGTTCATATTCTTTGGGTAACAATCAAAATGTCACCAAAAGTTTTTAGTCCTAGTTTTAGAATGATGATCAGGAAAATCCTTTTCACAATAGTTGCATTTGGCCTAATACTCATTTTTTTATTTATAAACTTTTCAAAATAATTTCACATTTTAGATGTTGAGCTCTTTTTTTTTTGTTTGGATGGTGGTGCTTCTTCAACTTGAGCAGCCTTAGATTCAATGCATGTTGTGATGGAGGTGGTAGCTTTAGACTCAAAGTCCCCTTCTACAACTTGCACATTTTCCATGATTATTTATGTGTTCCTCAATTAGCCTTATAGTGAATTAAAAACCATAGAATAGCCAAACCAAACCAATCACAAACTATAAAATTACTTAGATGTATCCAAAATTATATTGCCAAGTTTCAAAATTAAATAGTGTAAATTACATACAAGATGAGATCTCCTTGCATTCATTAATCACAACCTGCAAAGTCAATTCAAGTATGTTAAACCCACAAATTCTAGAAGCTCACTTCCATATTACAGATTCAAAATTCCATAATATATCATATACATTTAATAGGGCTACAACTAAATTTCATGGTCTGATCATATTGTCACGCCCCACCAAAACAAGCACAAAGTGTGAGGTAAATCTCACTTCATAAGCCCAATCAATTTATAATGCTTCTAATTAATCTTAAAAAAAAAAAGCACTTCATTAGTATAATGACAATTAATGTATATAAAATTCAGTATTAACTCCTTCCAGAGTTGAATTATTGTTACTTTTAAAATGAAAATGTTTAGACCAGTCAAATAACTTTAGTTGGAACAAGATATAAGAGTTTTTCCCTCAATCTTTAAATAATACAAATCAAAGAAATGGACACCTTTCTTACAATTATATAATAATTTATTTTTACAACAAAATCATAAAATAAATTTACCATGAACACAGCTTAAACATAGCAATTATTACAACTATCCAACAAGGGATCCTCTTTCAAATGCATATGAAAGAGGTGGCACATTATCTGAAATACAAATAATTTAGTAAGTACATAATAACAAAGTTTATTGTTAAAATATTTAAAATATAAATAAACAAAAATACTAAATCTTATTTAATTTCCTTAAGACGAAAGCCATAACTTGATAATTTGAAATATCTAAAACAATTAAAGTACATGTAAATGATCATGAATGCATATTTGTAGTACTAAAAATAGAAATCAAAACAAGATTTTAAAAAATATTTTTAATTAAATAATAAGAGTTTAATAAAAACATTTTTCTCAAAAACCAATTTCTTTAGAAAAACCAACATAGCACGAGATATCTTTCATTGATACACAACCTATGGGAAAATCACCTATTAGGCATGGCATATGCCATGAATAACAGGCGCAACTCAAAAGCCATGAATAACAGGCGTAGATACATAGTTCATGAGAGTAAATAATATATCTGATATAGCTTGAAACCACAAAAATAGGCATGAGCATTAGACTCAATGAAAAACAGGTGTTCTTTGTCTGGTACCCCTACACATCTTCATAGAAATCAACTCTTCAATATATAAACCTTTTTATTTTAAAAGAATCTAAACAATGTTCATAAGTCATTTTGTTAAACTTTCTCCCATGGGCTCATATGTGCTTGTAAAAACCTCTTCCAGTAATAACAAGACTCTTTTCATTATAAAAATACTCGCAATAATCTCAATTTCAATTGTTCAGCAAAATATTTGCTAAATCTTGTTTTCAGACCTCTATCCAAATACTTGCTAAAAGCTCTCTTAGCACAATGAGGCCTTTTTTAGTAATGGAGATTCATAAATTAGAAATAGAAGTAAATTAACATAGTTTATAAGTCATACCACAATGGTATAACTATACACTGCTTATAATTATATTTCAACTAAAGCAAATCCTCCTTTATGCATACCAAGATAAACTATATCAAGTAACATAACCTTTTACCAAGAGTTTGATGAAACTTTAGGAATATATCCAACACTTATATACTAATAAGGAGATTAAATAATACTCAATTTAAAATAAAATCAAGATTTTCCTAACAATACGAAAACTAAGTTACAAACTTTAAATGAGACCAATATTAGAATCAAGTGAAATTTGAGGACTAAAAGAGTAGTTCAACCAAATCAATAATTAACAACCTTGAAAGTTGTAAATTTGGGTTCAAGCTAAGATATAACTGTCAACATGGTGTCCAGTGTTTCTCCATTGAATTATGAAACACTTAGATTTCTAGTGACTCAAATGCTAACTTTCAAACAAGAAAACTAAATCAACCATATTCAGAAAAAATAGCAAGGAATATATAAGATATTATTGTCAATCATAAACCTTAAAAAAATCAAATTTCTTATTGTGCTGGTCATTCTTTTTGCATTTGGCAAAAACACTTTCAAAAGATTACTTTCCTACAAGTACCACTGAAAACCATCTAAACATGAGACACAGGAGTATTTGCCAAAATATTAACTATTTAATCACTATTAGATAATATAGTTCTACAACTCATTAGCTTTCAGAAATAAAAGTTCTCAACATTTTTTGTTCCCCCTTTTGCCTTCGGATAGCATATCTTTGTAAATGTTTGTTGTATGTGCAAGTTATTTGCAATTCCCATGCCGCTGTGAAATCTTTTTAGTACTTTTTTTTATAAAATAGACAAGTAAAAAAAAAACTGAGGTGGATCATTTCTTAAACTTGAATAAAGTCCATTTGTTTAGGGAAGTAAAAGCCATAGTAGCATAATTATGCAATCAATAATAACGTATATATACCAAATAATAACCCATCAAGCATAAAAAGTTCTTAGTAACCAAAGTTTTCCACCACACAATAATATATATATCCACATGTATATTCAAGTAATACCTATTTCTTTCTAAGTCTCAACATAGAGATTGAAAAAACTACATTCCAAGTTTAGTACTTAAACCAATATGCTTAATCGTCCCATTCCAATCAAATTCCTCTTCTAACATTTTAACAAATGCCTTATATGTGTTACTTGCCAAACCAGTCAATCACAGCTCTCAAGCTTCAAATCTCTTACCCAAAATCTCAAAACATCAATATTTAAAACTTATCATGCTACCTAGACCCAATTCCCCATCAAGAAACAACTTAAGTTCAAGAAAAATTCAAATCCACATCTATTTTCCTCAAGCATCAACCAAGCAATAATCCAAATTGCAAAATTCACACAAGATCAAATCAACTAGAAGCTCAACTCCTTCTAACCAGCAACTAAGTTTATAATAAAATAAGGATCCTAATTATAACTTATATGGAGCACCTAACCATACTTTCAAAGATAAAATACATAAGTATTCATATTTACGTCAAAAGAAAAGAATTTCAATCAAATCTTCACCCAGCACATCTAAAAGCCCCTTAGGAATCAGCAGGAGAATCAGCATCAGCCAAAATATCTGAGATCAAAATAATTTTACAGTGAATAACATCCCAATTTAATACTTAAGAAAAATAAAGGACTATAACAATGGTGAATTAAATAAAAATAGTAACATACTAAAACTCTTTTGCATAATTCAAAAAGATCATACATAAATACATAAAACAAATATATATTCAATTACAAATGACAGAGTATCAAGTTCAACAATTATTGTCTTCTAATTAAGTTATATAATTCAATCTTTAAAACCATATATGCTCAAACAACAGTTTGTTTAGAAAGAAATAAATAAATAGATAAAAAATTTTTAAAAAAATAAGTTTCCAACAATTCACATTTTTAGTGGGACTCTATCAAAATGATTATGAAGAATGGACACAAAGTCCACAAGGATAAATAACTAACAAGCGTAGACACACAATCTACGAGAGTGTAAATAATCAAGTGTGGTTGGAAATCACGAAACAAGCACAAGCATGAAACCCACAAATAACAAGAGCGGTCATAGGGCTCACGAAACACGCGCAAGTACGATACTCATGAGTTCCAAGCTAGCTAGGATTTAATCACGGCATGCCAAAGGCTAACAAAGCTGCCATTAGCAACCAGCATTTTGAAATCAGTCTCTCAATTTAAACCAAGTATGCAGGGATCTAAAAGGAAAATAAATTCATTTACCCCTTCAAAACATAATCATCATAAAATGATTTCAAATAATCTCCCATGCCTGAATCATAAAATAAATCATTTCTCAAGCCATAAAGTCAAACAATGTCAAGATAATAATTACTTGCGATTACATACTTGAAAAATAACTACAACTCTTTATACAATTTAATATAATGGACATATTTCCAAACATATTAATAATTAATAAATTTAAAATCATAATGATAAATCATTCTTCAACCCATAAATCAATCATTATCAATTTGTTAAAAAATTAAAGATACTCAATCATAGAATATTTCTTTCCTTTCCTTGAAAGCCTAGTATAAATAAAATTCAATTTGAAATAATTAATATTAAAATTTGAAAAAATTAACATTAAAATTTGAAGATCATAATTTAACAATATTTGGTAAAAATAATTTGGCTTATAAATTAATTGAAACACTATTCATTTACCTGAAGGGTTTCAAAATATAACTTGCTTCCAAGTTAATCTTCTAGTGGCAAAGCTTAGCTTTTTAAATTCCTATTGTCCAAGTAACACTATTGTTATTATTTTTTTTTTATAAACTTTATTATTCAATCCAAAATTCCAAAGAGATATCACAAATAAATCTTCCCAAACATTTTTACTTCAAATTTTAACTTCCCTTATGAAAAATAATTAGCTTCCATAACAATTTAGTAACCAATAATACATTCATCCTTCACCTTCAACAAAACCCTTTTCTTTCAAGCATCTTATTGAACATTTTGTAGACACGAACTCTTTAATAAACATTGGTTTTCTTACCCAAATCTTATTCCAATCATTTTTCATAAATTTTTCAATATCAACATTTAAATTAGTCAAACGTCTCCTTCATCATAAATCAACTTTAATACTCAAAGAAAATCATCTCCTAATTCCACATTACCCACGGTAGATAAAAAAAGAAAAAATAAAGAAAGAGAAAATCCATAATCTTAACCAACAATTTCTTAACAACCATATATCCCCAACAAATATTTTCACAATCAAATTCCCTCACAACCTTCAAGCTAAACCCAACTGAATAGAATTTGAATCAATCATGCTTCTCACCATAATTAATAGAATTAAAAAAATTTACAATCAAACAAAATTCTCCTAATGGGCATTCTAACAAACACCTTGCAGACATGAATTTTTTTCAAAATTTAATACTAAGCTTTACTCTTCAAATTTCATCCTAATAATTTCTTCTAAGAATTCTACAGTACCAATACTTGAACAAATCCAACTTGCCTAAATCTCTAGCACCCACACGTTCACAGCACATAGAAGTGGAGCGGAAGGATCAATTCACAACAATTGATTTTTACCAGATGCACAGATTCAGTAAAGAGAGGCAACTTTCACAATTTCAACCATTTCAACACAAACAAGAGGAGAATTTGCAACTTCAAGCGCTAAATCACGCACACACATTCACAAAAATAACCAGGAAAGAGGGTTTGAAGCCTCACAAATCAAACAGCAAAGACAGGGCAGAGAAACAGGAGGAGGGAAACGTCCGACTCCCAAGCTCAACAATGGTAGTTCACAGCGAGCACGGAGAAAAGAAGAAGACAAAGCTCACGACTGCATAGGGGAGGGAAAGACTCGGGATCTGCACCTCAACACGTCACAGCAGAAGTGAGCTTTGCAAGGAGGAAGAACGGAGTAGGGGAGAGCGGATGGATCTCAGCAGCGAGCGAAGCTCCAGCTCCCGTCGACAGTGTGATGAATGGCGGAGGACGGAGGTGGTTGGGTCGAGAGTTTGAAGCTTCTGAGCAACAAATTTCTCTTGCTCTCACACGATCCGGGCGCCAGCTAGAACAAGGAGGAAGAAAGAAGTCACGGTTGCCGGCGTTTGCCCGCAATGGAGGAGGAAGAAGACAGAGATCAATGGAGGAAGGGCTAGGGTTTTAGGTGTTGTTCTCTGCCTCTCTCTCTCTCTCTCTCTCTGCAACTCAGAACGGGATCGAAGATGAAGAAGAATTGAAAAGAATGGGGTGCACATGCTTTCAATTTCCGATGCCTTACCTTCCTCTTTTTTTTTTTTTTAAGGGGTAAAATAGTAATTTGTTAGGGTCTAAAGCTAAAAAATTGATATATTTTCCTTTGGCACTGAGAGGGTTTGAACGCTAAACCTAAACCTAAACATTTACGATAAAAACTACAGAGCTGCAACTCCTCATCGACTCTACTGTCAAAATAACATATAAAAAAATCAAATCACTTAATTATTATAATAATATTTTTTACCTTAAAACTTTAGGTCTTTACATCTTCAATTAGAGGTTTTAGATAAATATTAATATCATTTTTAAATTATTTTTATCTTAAAATTAACATGGACAGCATCATATACTTTCATTTTATGCATAATCAAGGTGATAGGTTATAAATCATTAAAAGAACAAGCTATGAACTATATATACCATTAAAACTATTGTAAGAATTCATTCCATTGGTAGAAAGTTCGAGCCTAAGATTTTTTGGCTCATTACTAAATTCAAAAATAAGTGATCAATTTTTTTCATTGAGTAGAATCTACTAGATGTCAGAGTTTTACATCGGATATCCTTTCATTTACATGCCCCCTTAAGTTCTTCACATTATTTGCATTTGAAAACAACCATTTGAATTTTGATATAATTGAAGATACCATAAGACCTTTATAAAAGCTCTATTTTTTTTATATCATGATACTTCACATTTTAGATACTTCTCTTCTCCTTTAAGCTCTTTTTTGTATAGCACACAATTATTAAGGTAAGTGTGTATCTTTTTATACTTCATACCCATTGGGCACAATCTTTGTGGTATCATAGTAACAATTTGGTAGTATATTTTCTTTAAGAAATGTTATTTGGAGCAACCCTAGTAACCATATAAAACTCTTGTCACTCCACCTAACTCTTGCCTTTAAGGTAACCAATTTTAACACCCAAATAATAGACTAAAATTGGTGCACCTCAAGTGCAGAGGCTTCTCCGCATGCACAAGTTTTTTATACACATGTGCTTGCTCAAAAGCCTCTTCCCCAACTTCACATATGATATCTTCTAATTGATCTGTATCCATATATACTTCATCATTAATATTATCAACTTTCACATATTGAAACAAATTATAGGATTTAATTGTTTACCATACCAAATCCATATAGTATAATTCTTGCAAGTCTCATTGCAAATATAATGCTCTTTTATTTTGACAACATCTAGTCTCTTATCATTCAAGCAATTAACATAAGAACAATAGAACCTTTCACTATTATCAATAGCATTTTTCTTAATAAATTCCAAAAACTTTTTCACCCAGCTATATCATACTCATTGCTTGATCTTCTAGCATTCATCCAACTATAATCCATATGTCACTACCTAAAGAAGAAGAGAACAATTGTGCATGTTATCACCTTCAAACTATTTCAAAAATATAAAATCCTCATTCACCTAAGATTTGAAGTAATTAACGGAAAAGAATAAAGTTAAAAAAATTTCAACAGAGTCTCCCCTAAAAAATGGACTTTCTAAGGCCTTGTAAAAAAAATTTACAAGAGAAAATTTTAGATTCGATAATTTGGACTAAGTCTAATGGACTAGCCTGAACTTACTTGAAAAAAATGTAAGGTTAGGCCCAAAAAATAATTTTTTTTAATTTTTGGACCTATTTAGGCCAAGCCTGAGCCCATACCCGAATAAAAAAATATTTTTATAAAATATAATAAATATTAATTAATTTTTAAATTTTTATGTTATTTTATATCAAAATACCATATATTTGAGTGCATTGCTATAGTTATTTTTTAAAAAATTAAAAATATTAATATTTCATATTTGATTATTTTTAATCAATAAAATATCTCAAAATAATATTTAAAATATATTTTAATATTAATTTTTATATTTTAAGACCGACTTTTTTTAAAAAAGTTTTGATTCCTATAAATCATTTGATACCCTAAAAATATATTCTACATTTCTTATAAAATAAGATAATTAATTTTAAAGTAAAAAATTAAATTAAAATAATTTTAAAAATAAAATTCAGGCATGTATGAATTTTAGGCTCTACTACTATATACACATAATAAATAGAATAATATTCTTGGATAATTCTTTGATTATTGTCAATGTCAAAATTGGTTAAAAATTAAGAATAAACTAGAGTAAATACCTCTTATATATAGGGGTTAAACAATATAAAAATAAAAAAAAATTTAAAAATAATATTTTACTCATAATTAAATGATTTTGTTTTACATGATATAATGATGATTATTTTTTTATACCTTTAAAAATGAAAATTCGCTACAAAAAAATAGCTGATTAATAACAAAATAGTGAAAATTTTGTCACTAAACGGGTTTTATTTGTAGCATAATAATAAATTATTAAATAAATTATATGTAAATGTATATTATAAATAATAAAATAAAATTAAAAATAATTTGTGATGGAATTAGCAACGGAATTATAATAAAAAGCTTTGTGATAGAATTTTTCATCACAAATTCTATCACTAAATTGGAATAATATATCCTAAAAATTTGTGACAGAATTTTCTATTGGTAAATTATTTTGATGGATTAGTGATTGAATAATGATATAATTTTAGATATGGACGGAATTAGCAATGGATTAGTGACAGATTAGAGTTGAAAATTTATTCCATCACTAATTTGCTATTTTTTTGTAGTGAGTACAGTTTATCCAAAAGTTATTAAAAACTTTAAATTAATTGAGGCAATGATTTTAAGTTAGTGGTATAGCCGTGATTGAATTGGATCAACTTAATCATCATTAAAATAATATTATTTAATTAAAATATATAAAATATTTATATATGACCATGATAAGAGCAATTTTTAAACAGCTATGACCTTAATTTATAAGTAAAGGAGACATTCATGAATAAATTATATAAAATATAACAAAATAGTAACATAGTTACTTAAGTACAAGATTGATAAGTTATAATTTATTTTTTCTTTTAAAGTCAAAATAATATTTTATGCTTAACAAAGTTACTTAAAAATTAAAATTGGTTCAAAAATAGAGAAAAATTTTTTAAAAAGTTTTGAGTATTTAAGAAAGCCTGAATAAGCACTCGAAGTTCAAAGATATTAAGGTTGGGCTTAGTCATATGAGCTTTTCATATAAATAGGATATTTTAAACCCGGCCCACCTGAATTACTAGCTTGAGAAAATTCACAATTCTATACTAAATAAATGAGCATCAACTTAAGGCCCAACAACATTCTAGCAGTAATTAATATCATTAACAACTAAATTTGAAGTAATTTAGGGAAAATAATGAAATTAAAAAAATTTAGCACAATCTCCCTTAAAAATTGAACCTCTAAAAATATTTTATAGGCAAAAAATATATAATTTTAATCCTAAACAATATCAACAACAACAATTTAATTACTTGCAACAACCTAGAGCATTAGGCTAGCAACTAACAGCACTCCCCAAACAACTAATATAATATTCAATTATCATCATACTCAACTATCATCTTCATCACACACACACACACACACACACACATAGCCACTAACTAATAAAAGAATTAACAAAAAAATACCATCAAATCAAACTAAGATTAAATTAAATGTAATTAAATTCAACCACACACACACATTAAAAATTAAAATTTAAAAAAAGAAACTGGAGAGCATACTAAAAAAATCTTCAAGAAACCATGAGTGGAGGAGGGGGGCAAGGGGGGAGAAGGAAGGAGGAGGCCAATGTGGGGAAGGAGGGACGATTGAGGGAGGAGGAGAGAAAAGGGGAAATGGGTTTTGGGAGATAGTGAGAGGAGGAGGAGGAAGGAGGACAACATACGGAGGAGAAGGAGGAGATTGACGACGAGCCAAAGGCAACAAAGAATGTCAATGGACTAGGCAAAGAAGGAAGAGAGGTGACACGAAATGATAGAAATGAGAAGATGATGGGTCTAGGCATAATTTTGAATGACTTTTTACATCAGATGGGATGCACAACTACACTTTCTACATTGGATTCTTTCCTACCCAATGTAGAAAGTTCAATTTCTACATTAGTTAAATACCATTTGATATAAAAAGTGATTATTTTTTTATTTTTCAAAAATATAAGCACTTTCTACATCTTGTATGGACAACCTAATGTAAAAACTATCAAATTCTTTGGCACCCAATGTGGAAACATAGTTTCTACCTCAATTGGTCCACACCTGATGGAGAAAGTGAATGGTCAACAGCCAATATTATAAAAATGCCATTGCTTGGACTTTCTATATCATTTTCTTACCAACTGATACAAAAAGTCCCTTATAAAATTCACAATTTGTACTAGAGAAATGTTCCTCTAAACTTCAGTTGTCTTTTACGAGCTTGATTAGCACTAATGTCTCTAATGTAGTTCAATTTTCTTTCATTATCATGTGCTATATAATAGATTTAAAATATAAATGAATAGAGCAAATTGATGGATTCAAAATCTCAAAGAACTTACAAGTTACAATAGCTAAATCTCAACCCTAATATTTGATTCCTTTAAAATCATAGTAAGGATTTAAGGAATAGAAGCAGGATTTGGGGATTCAGGGATTCAGAAGAGTGGAAGAGGGAAGGAGGGAGTAATAAATACTTGAGCAAGGAAGGAGGCTGATAGTTGAGGTGGAAGGAGGAGACATCGAGAAAAAGCCAAAAGAGTTTACATTTGCAAGCTACAACTATGTGAGGTTGCATCCGCATTTTTGAGGCTAACAATAGAGTTGAAGGGAGGAGTCGTGCAACTATAAGTCTGAACTCTGAAGGTAAGCAAGAAATAGGTGATGCCATGATGGCGAAGTCTCTTGAGTCTCGGCTCTTGAAGAAGGAAGAAGAGAAATTGAACAAAAGTCTAAAGAAATTAAGGGTACACAAGTTTGGGTGACTGACTATATCTAATTAAAAATAAACAACATAAGCATATATGAGCAGGTACAGGCCACCCAAGATCTTACCCATTACCCACTTGTTTTTTCCCACACGGGTAGCCACTTGCCCGTACTTGTTTTTCTCCCTTCATGTACAGTTATGGGTTGACTCGTTTTGCAATTAGTCAGGTTGTTTGCAGGTAAAATGTTCACCCTTACTTTTCACCCAATATAATTTTTAAACTAAATTCCAATTCTTTTTGAATTTGTCTTTGTCCAATAATATAATCCAAACATCTAATAATTCTTTGGAATTATTTAATTATATTTTAGACCAAATTAAAATTTTGATAAAATAATCTTTCTATTTGTTGTCACGAGGTAATCTTTCCCAATTTAATGCCTATTAGCCTTTAGAAAACTTTACCCAAAAAAAGAAAATCTTTAAAAATTCATGCCATCTCAATACATTTTCCTTGAACTTTTATTTTCTTCACGAACAATGCAAAACAGCATAATTCAGCTAAACAAACTGGTTTGTCCACCGGCCTTGCAGACCTGGAATAACTAATTAAGTTGAAACAGAGCTGTCCACATATATATAACATTATCAGCCATTATTCATAATTAATCAAGCACTGTATTTTAATTTTCAGTGCAAATTGTTTTGAACATAAAAAAAAATCTGGCATTGCTCTTCTTCCTTCAAAAGCTTTAATTTGATTTAGGGAAAGAGTAACCTGCCATTCAATAAATAAAATAATGATTAATGAAAAGTGATAATCCCAATTGTTTAGCTAGTGTTTAAGTATAGATAAACTCACCCATATAAATCACAAATCATATTCATGTAAGCCACAAGGGCTTAACATCAAAAATTTCATTGTCATGTACAACTATACTAATATGAGGTTAACAAAATCATATCAAATGTTTGTATGTGTAAGTCTAGGAGTTATTCACAAGTTGTAAAAACTGATGTTTAGCTTGAGCTCTAGGCCAATATATTTTCATTCCCTCACCTAATATCCTAGAAGACCTGGGGTATTACTACCACTTGTTTAGACTAACCTGAATTCTTGCTATGTGATATCGTTGTTACCAATGGCGGGTCATAGGTACATTAGGAAATATGAATGCTTTTGACATATTTATTTAACGAAACTGCATATCGCAGACTTGAACTTGAGACCACAGGATAAATTAATTCAACTCTCTCAACTAATTGAACCAAATGCTCCTTAGTATCTAAGACAATTTTTATACAATGCAAAATCAAATAAAACATGTTTTTGAGGGTCTGAAATGATAAAATGTAACTTTTAATCCTTGAATTTTTTCTCAATTTTTGATTCAATTTTTGAACTTGGACTTGAAACAACTCAATCCTTTTAGTTTCTTGAATTGGGACAACTCTGTCATTATAATTGCTTGACTTTAATCAATCACAAATTTCTTGACTTGGAATGATCCAATCATTATAATTTTTGATTTGATACAACTTAATCCCTATAATTCCTTAACTCAATAAATTGCAAGGATTGAATTGCAATAAGTTAAAATTATATTGAAGGACTAAGTTAATAATTGAGAGAAAATTTATAGACTAAAAATTATATTATCCAGATTAAAATAATTAATCTACAATAACTGGAAACCTGGCCTATAATCATGACCATAAAAAAAGTAAGTAATAAAACACAGCTCTCACAGAGGAGGTTATGGCAACTTACCTCATTGTGAGAGAAGTGTCCAATGCCTGGCCTTGTTCATGCTCAAACCATTGGGCCTATTATCAACACAATTTTATTTCCCAGTTTGATACAATTTCCAGATAAGAACTGACGAAAATGAGAAACATAAGAATCTAAAACCTGAGTACCTGATCTAATCTCTCGTTTTCTTCCATGGATTTGATTTCCTGAATTGGAATTAAGTTTAAAAGCATGGAATATGAGATATCATTACCATGAAGACACATTAATAAGAAATTAACAAGAGAATTCATGACAAGAATCTGACCACCTTAATTAGTCTCTGGTTTTCTTTCGTGAGTTTGGCTTCCTTTATTGACATCAAAATGAAACACATTATCAAAACAAAATCAAAGACATGAATGAAGACTCACAATGTACTAAGCCCACGTTGTTCCATTGAAGAAAATATTCCTACAACCATTTCATATCTATTGTTACTTAATGTTATACACAAAGATTAAGAAATCTTTTATTAATGTAAAATATTACTATACATTGACTGAAATGCCCTCATTCAATCCCCTCGTCATATGAAAGAGAATGAGAAATAAGATTAATAGAAGAGAAAGATAATAGGTTAGAAGAAATAGTGGTACTAAGAGATGTACTACCTGCTTGCATCTTGTCATTAATACTCCTTCTGTCTCAATTTATAAGACAGATTTTGACAAAATTATGCATATTAATAAAATTTATTAAACATACTTTACAATCTTATTTTTTTAAAAAAAATATAAATTTTCAAAAATACATCTCATTTAACCTAATTGATGAGACATTGAATATATATATATATATATATTTTTATTTATAATAAGGAGGAAACGGTAGTACTGGAACAAGTATAATTAATAAAATCTTATTTTTTGTCAAAGTATATTGTATTTTGGATCTAGTTGTACTTGATTAGATGATCACTGTTTAGTTTTTGTGCATATTTGAAGTGTTGACTTTGTGTATTTAGAAAAATGTATGAGAGTCTTAGTTTTATATGTGAGTTTATGAAGTTTGAATTTATGTATCTTGGAGTATGTGATTTGTGGTATTTTGCAATCTCTATTAAACAAGAGCTTATTTGAAGGGTTAAAGAAATGATTTTGTTTTTTCTTTTTATGCTGATATGGACTTAACACCGTTAAACCATGAAATAAATGAAGGGAGTGCCTTAGATATTAGGCTAGTAATAAGGACCATGAAATAGTCAAAATGGTGTTACTTTTTGCTAAGATAGACTTAATGCTGTTGAACCCATTAGATGACTAAGTGATGGAAAACTATAAAAATATATTATAAGGACTAAAAATAAAACTTAATTAAAGTATAAAAAAAACCTTGCATGAAAGATAAAAAGAATAAACAAAGTAGCATAAAAAAGTTTAGTGGTTTGTGTTTTTGCTGCACAGGTGAGGAGTTTGAAAAATACATTGAATCCAATTAGAATATATATATATATATATATATAAGATTTTTAGAAGACTTATATGAAAAGATAATTATTCTCTCTCTCTCTGACAATTATATAATACATATATTTCATATTTTTGGTCCTTAATTTTTTTAAATATATACATACATGCATATATATATATTTGCCAACCAAATTTGATTTAAACATCGTATATGTTAGCAAACAATAGAAAAATTAAAATTTCTTAATGCTAATGACCCTAAAGATTATCAATAATTTCTTATTACAATAGAGAGGAAAAGACAAAATGCAGAGGATGCTTTAATTCTACCAAATAAAACATTATTTCTAACCTTTTTCTGAAGAATATTGATCTCCTGCTCAAATACTTCAACCTGAAATGCATGGAATTAATTTCAGTTTTAATTATTACCATGCCGTACACATAATTCCATAAATTGCTTGCTTGGTTTGGATAGAGGGAAGTTTAAAAGTAGGAGGAAAATAGATAGAAGAGAATACTAGGAAGTAAAACTTCTAAAAATAATAATTTTTTATTCCCACTCTCTTTTTTTCCCTCCATCCAAACCAAGAATAAATGAAATAGGAATACATGAAAAAAGTAGAGAAAATGTTGTAATGAATAGCAAAAAGTATCAATCTGCTCTAATTTTATATTATATATTGTCTTTTGTAGGTTTTAGTAGTTTGATCTGGAGTGCCAAAAATTAAATTTTAATTATTACATCTAGAAAATTTTCAGACATTTAATTTCAGTATTTTTAAGAATCAAAGAGCTTTAAAATGATAATGATACTATTTGGCTAGATTATTACATAGTTTAGATTCTTTTTTAAAAAAAAAAATCCATGCGAGATGGCTAAAAAGGACTAGAGAGAGCAATTGACAAGAGTTGGTACATTGTGACAAGAAATCTAGTTTTCAAAAGAGTAAGTGAAAACCACGAGTGGATTAGTAACTCTCAGTTGCCCTAAACCATAGTGGTTGTGTTAACTTTGAACATACAATCAATTAGTTGTATATATCTTGTGCAAATTAAAAATGAATTTGTTAAGTTAATGCTCAACATTGTTATTTGAACATACCGAGTTCTCATGCAGGAACGATATTGTACTCATCACTTTATTATTAATGTAACCTATACACTTATGGTTTTCACACAATCACATTGTGTCGTATTAGGGTAAGCTTATCTATGAGATCCTGTGGTTGGAGGTGAGTTAGGAAACCATGCATTGTTGATGAGCACAAGATAAACCTTCATTTGAGTTCATAAGTTGTACGATAGTTGAAAATTGCGAGCTGCTACCGAGCGAGCATAAGAAAAACCATCATTTTTAATCATGTTTGTTTTTAGTAGGAAAAATTAATCTCTCATCTCTCAAGTAGTATTCTTTAGCAGACATGGCAACAAGACTAATAAACAAAGATAAATCTCATTATTTGATTTGCTCTACCTACTTTTACTATTTTTTGTTATTGCGTCTTAGCTTTAGGCCAAATGAATCACAACTGTAAGGAACCTACATGCTATTTCACAATTTACATGTTTCTACTGATAAATTAATGGGTTCTTTGTTAGCCCACGAAAGTAGCCTAAATATAATAGACCCCAAGAAACGAGTACAAAGAAGGCAATTCAAGTGAACAAATTAAATGTTCCTTTTCTCACAGTTTTCTATGCTTTTGTGGCTTTCTTGTGTATGTCTCCAACCCAACTTCTTTTGAAGAAGCAATAGAAAAATTGGGATCATCACAAGGTGATATGATAGGGGAGATGCAAGACATTCAAAAAAGCCAACAAGGGAGTTGGATGATGTTCTTGAAGGCAAAAAATGTTACAGGGCTCCAATATAATGGGCATTCCAAATGATGAAGTATAACACTAATGAAAGCAATTAAGAGCACAAAGCTCACCTTGTTTCTAGAGAATATTCACAACAAGAAGTGAGGATTTTGAGGAAACTTTTCTCATAGTTTCTCAACTTGAACAAACTGATAGTTTTGCTTTATTTTTGATTTCTTAGTCGTTGCAATTACCTGTGTATTGATGATTTCATGTGAAGTTTGCTTCTTTTTTTGGTACAGGAAGTTTTCTTTTTAAATAGTGAGTTAGAAAAGAGGATCTTTATGTAACATTGCAAAATTCCAAAGGGATTAGCATGAAAATTCATAGGGATCAACATGTAAAGAATTCTACAGTTTTGTGGTTTAATCAGAATCAAACAAAGTTAAGGGAAAGTAGTAGCAAAAATATATAATATCAGAAGTTTTGGTAGAAAAAGGCCACTCAACATCAGCATAGACCAAAAGGGCAAATGATATTTACATGAGATTAAATTACTCATATATGGTTATCCTCATATATCTGAATAATTCCTTTTAGAAAAGATATTTAATTTTAAATTTTTAATATACTAACGATTTCATAAAGTGTATATATATATATATATATATATATATATTAATATATTAATAATTTCACGAAGCAAACCCTACCCTTTATAAACCCTAGTTTTCTAATTCCTTTTCCGCTTAGAAGAAAGAAGAGAAGAAGCAACGATAGCTTTGATAGGAGGCAAAGAAGTGTAAAAAAAACAACAAAAAAAAACTTAGAGAAATGGAGTAAGTTCTCTACATCACTAGCCTTAACTTCTTCTCTCTTATAATTCCACGTGATCTAATCCCTCCTTTATATTAAAAATTCAATATTCAATTTAACCTTTTGAGATCTTCACCATATATAATTTTTATGTCATTTATTTCTCATATTTTATGCTGCTATATTGAAAAACTAAAAAGCCGAGAGATCAAATGCTGATAGTATAAACCATACAAATTAAATAAAAATACTGCTTTAAAAAAGGGAAAAAGACAAACCTTTGCTTTTGAAATTCGATGCAAGCTTCTGCTGAGTAAATCTTCTAGTTTTCTTAGGTCTTTTAAGGACAAGTCTTGTAGTTCTTCTCCATTGAGCCGTCTGTAATTAGATGTAGAACAACATATTTGAATCAACAATAAACAAATTATAGCATCTCTGATTATAAAAAATCTCTAACAGCATATAAATTAATTAATACCTCACTTCAAGAGTCTTATCTCTTAGTTCCTTGTTTAGCTTGAAATATTCACCTTCAACCTGTACAATTTCCCAAAAAAATAACAGAACTACTATATATTCTTTTATATCTCAAAATTTCTAGAAGCCAATATGTAATTTAAAGGCTCTATTCATCACTACAAAAAAATAGTGAATTAGCGGCAGAATTCATTACTAAATTACTGATAGAATTTGGCGACGGAATGTTCTATTGCTAAAATTTTATCATTATTCTGTCACTATTTTAAAAATAATTTATCTACAAAATTTACTGACAGAATATTCTGCTGCTAATTTTTAAGACATCTTATTCTAATTTAGTAACAGAATATGCAACAAAAAATTAATCACAAAGCTTTCTATCATAATTTTGTTACCAATCCTATCACAAATTATTTTTAATTTAATTGTATTTTTTATAATATATATTTATATATAATTTATTATTATGCTATATTAAATAAATAATTTAAAAATTTTATATTAAAAACAATTGAAATTGTACACTTAATTATTCTTATTTAAAAATAAAAATAAAATAAAAGATAATAATAAAAAAATTTAAAAATTTAAATTATTATATATTATATAGATACAAATTATAATATAATATATAATGATAATAAAATACTTTTAAATTTAATATTAAATTGATTATCAAAAATAATTTTTAAAACCAAAATATAATAGATATAATTATTATATATAACTTAATTTTACCATATTAATAAATATAATGTTAAAAAATAAGTAAATTTAAATAATATATTTATTAATATATATGTGTGTGGTTAAATATTACATATTTAATTTATCAATTAAAACTAAAGATTCCTTTAGCTCAACCAGCGATAAGGCGGACACAAAAGCATTGTGGGTGGGAGGTTGTGAGTTTGAGCTTAGTCAAGACACAATTGAAAGTAATAATATTTGACATAGCAGTAACAAATAACGTTATGATGAGGCAGTGGTGAGGTGGTGCTAAAGCGGCACTGGTCCACTGGGTAATGTGGTAATGATATTTTGATCAACCTAAAAATTATCAAGGGAATAAATCCTTTGAACAATTTGCGACGATTCAGAATAGCTTATTCTTATTTAGTGATGAAATTGTATCACTAATTCCACTACTAATTAGCAACGGAAATTGCAAATTTTATTGTTAATGAATTAGTGACAATGTTTTTACTTATGAAAATATTTTGTCGCTAATTATATTGCTAACCCATTTTGAAACAGAATTTTTACTGATTAGCAATGAATAATCAGCTATTTTTCGTAGTGTGTTAGTTATAGATTGAAAATAAAAAGAATAAAATATAAAATGATTTGGTACATGAGAAATTTCTTTTATGTTTAGTTTTTTTAAAGAACGAAGATTGAAGATGATTACCATGGATTATAATATTGTATCCATCTTAGTTTTTTAAGACAAATTTAATTAGGTCAAGTTCCTTTATAACCATCAGGTTCATTTATCCAATCAAATTGTGCCACATGTTTGATTTTTTCCACATCATCACTTAACTCCTAAAGGAAAAAAAATAGTAAATGTATTAATTCTTGAATTGAATAAATGGACCTAATCGTTATTAGGAACTTGACCTAAGCTTTATTCAATCTTTTATATGATGAAAATAAGTATCTTTTGTTTTTATCTAACCAAATAAGGCAATCCGAAATTGTAAATATTATATTTAGATAAAAATAATAAAATTTTGAAATAAACAAGTTAATGCCCAAAAACATTTTCCACTCCCAAGGCAACAAAATCTGCCTGGGTAACTCATAACATCACATTAGAGCAAGAAAATGGTAAATGTGTCTAAACTTCAATTGTTTCATTATATAGTATTTAGTTTATCACACCTTAGAATAAAATAATTACTTTTTTAATGTACTCTAAGAATTTAATTATGTATATAAAATAATTAGAAAAACACAATTATTGATCTCTATAATTTTATCATATTTTGCTTTTAATTCTTGTAGTTTTCAGTTCCTATATTTTCAACAAGATTAGGTGATGTTTGTTGCTTAGGTCTCTATAGTTTCAATATTTTTTAGTAGTTTTAATCCTATAAAAACTTAAAACATTGAAACAAAATTATGAAGACTAAAAATAAAATAAATTTAAACTATTGAACCAATAATTATGTTTTTCCAAATAATTATTTTGTACCTGCAACTCCTGGGATGGCTGGCATGACTTGGCAAGGTTCACATCCGAGTACAAGTTTCTCCTTTCAATAACCTGCCTCATGCTTCAAACATCAAAAATGTTGCAAATTAGTTTCTATTATATTATTATGTTTACTATATTATGGTAACTTAAATAATATTTTTTAATGCAAAGGCAAGTACACATCTTGAGAACAACAACAACAACAAGCCTTATTTCATTAGGTGGGGTCGGCTACATGGATTATATGACGTCATTGTACTCTATCATTTATTAAGTTTTTAGGAATATTTTTATTAAAAGGTTTCGCTCAACAACCTTTAAAAATGTTCTCTTTAGTCTTCCTCTATCATTTTTGACAGAGCTCAAAGTTATATGTTCTACTCTCCTCATAGGTGCTTCTCATGGTTTTCTTTGTACATGTCGGAACCACCTCAAATGACACATATAATATTTTGAAAGGAGAAAATACTTGCATATAACATTACTTACTCTTGGTGAGTTTTGAAATTTAAATCCAGTTTTGTGCATAATTAAACTTTTACAATTGGTTGAACAAGTTGAAATGCTAATTAAGGAAACAAAAAATGAATTATAGCTAGATAGTACACTTCAATTTTATGCACACCCAACTAGAAACTTAAGTCATATTTGGCATAATGAAGAGGTTTAAGCTATCTTAATAAAAAGCTCCTTCCCATGTTTGAGAGAGCTGAGCTTTCCAAAGAGCTATATATTATAACCTACCAAACACACTAAGAGGAATTTTATTATCTCTCTCCTCCATTTTTGAGACTGCTTTATTTCAACCAAACATGACCTTAATGAGTTAATTTTGTGGCTCTATCTTGTTGGTTATAAGTAAATTTACTAAATCAAGTATAGTGTGTTGGTCTCAAATGGAAAATTTATCAAATGAAAGAATATGGTTGGAAGATATACTGAATGATAAGAGACAACCTACTCAGTGGTCCAATTAGAAATTGATTCCACATTTTTATACCTTAAGATAAAAATTAGAGTGAATTTAGATGAATTTTTCTTATATTTCTCCACTAATCTTTCTCTATTCTTTGTCCACCAATAGCTAAAAGGTTCAACATTGCTCCAATCTAGTGGTATAAGACCTCAACCATCTTTGTTATAAAAAGAAATATGCCACGCCATGCATGTCATTGTCTAATTTCCTTGATTTACCAAAGATACTACTTATGGAATTTGGCATGCTTGTGTAAAATTCAATGTTTTAAAAACTAAACCACATCGGCCGATTTAACCGATTAAACTGGAAACTAGCTCTTAGTTTGATTCGGTTGACTCTTCAAAACCGGCTACAAGGGAATTGGTAAATGACCCAAAAAGTCAATCAAAAGCTAGAAAAATTGGTTGGAAACCAGATCGGTTCCCTTAAAAATCGGTCTAAATTATTTAAAAATTTTAAAAAATTAATTTAAAATTAATTAAAACAAAGAATAGCCAAGAGTAATTAATATTAATCATGTATTCATTAACAATATATCATTTTACCAAGCATTTATTAATATTTTTCTTGAAAAATATAAATATTTGTATATATTTCTTATTTAATTATGATACATAAATTAAAATTTATTAATTTAATGTCATCTGGTTCAACTACAGTTTAATCATGATTGAATTAATGAACGTGAACCAGTGACTAGTCCGATTTAATAATCGATCCAGTTTTTAAAACTTTGATAAAATTCTACTATAGTCTATCTTGATCAGCCAGAGATGGTACAAAAATGTTATGAAGAATCTAATTAAAATAAGGGAGAGAGTTACATGTAAATCACATGTAAAAAACAAATTAATTACTTATAGGTCCCAACTATACTTGAAATAAATAATAACTTTTGACATGTAAATATTGAATTTTGACTTGTAAATAAGCTGAAAAAAAATTATTTTTAATTTTCCCCCAAAATAGGGCTTCCTTAAGTACTACACAAAGGGAGGCTATGGATATGATGACAAGAAAAGATTAGCAATCTCTTACTCTCATTCAGCAACTCTTAATTAAATGACGTCATGTTTGCTGCCAGATTATATACTATAGGTGGAAAACTATTTTTACCCAAATTATATGGGATAAATATGATTTATCCTAAATTTTATAAATTTTTATTTGATCAATTAAAATTGGTCATCAAATGTAAATTTAAATGGAAGCCATATTTAATTGGGTGAATTTGAATAAAGCATTCATTTATGCTTATATATGCAATTAGTCATATATCTATGCACCAATTTCTTCCAAAGGGCTTCGCCAAACGTTACAGATAGATGTTTTACTTAGAGATAAATACGTGACAATGTGTAATATAATTTGTCTAAACTGAATCTTAATCCAGCATGCATAGGCTCATTCAAATATAAATAATAACATTTAAATATTTAATTTATCTTAATTCGTAAACAGCCAAAAGATCAGCTTGATCATCATATTTTGGACTCCATCAACTCAATGAACATTAAAGCATTCAACTCATTTAATAAATGAGCCAAGCATTGCACAATAATCAGTTAAGATCAATATATGAAGACAATAAGAGAAACGTCAAGAACTATAACATACAAATATCAATATTTTTTAATATAAGCTGATATATAGCCTTAGAAAATTTTAGGTATCTTCAAAACAAGAATGACCTGACTGTTCTAGTAGCATGTTTTTATAACCTCTTTGGAATGTTTTAATCTAGTTACTCAACAAAAAGAAATCATGAACCAAAAATTAAGTGTGGATCTACCTCTAATATATTAAAGGTATGCCGGATTTGTACTTTACTGCTTAGGAAGTTTAAGTTAATCAAACTAGACGATTCAAATGTTCTGATCTTTTAATATTTTTAATTTTTACGAAAATAATGTACAAATAAACACAATTTTCTACCAGAATTATTGAAAAGTAACTTTAAAAAAAAGTAAAATAAAAATATTAAGATCAGAACAATGTGAAAAAAAAAAAGATAGATGCAGCCTATATGTCTCAAGGATATAGAGAGGAAATGCAGTACTAGTACAGCTTGAATATAGGTTTGAGGCCTTGTTTCTTTTTTATAATCTAAGACAAACAATATTATTCATAACTAATAAATAACATTATTTATGACTTATAAATAGTGTAATCTTTCACAAATTTAGAAAAAACTTCATATATTTACAAAAGACAAATTACATCTTGGAATAAATAAAAACCTATGGATTGCTCAGATACATTTATGAAATTCATTGTTCCTACAGACATCTACACATATATATAATATACTCTCTCCGTTTAAAAATATAAGGTATTTTTAATTGAATTTTATCCTTTAATAAATTAGTTACTTACTTTTAAACTAACACTATTTTTTCATATTTACCCCTATGAAACACCTTACAATAAATATAAAGTTATTCATCAATAGGGATACTAAAAAAAAAGACAATTGTTATATTTTAAAAACTAAAAATGCCTTATATTTTTTTAATGAAGAGAGTATATGAAATTTTCGTTAATTTCTAACCACTATTTTGTAGGATTTGAATCTTTAGAAGTTGATACCACACATGATTTTACATAAACATTCAACAAATTCCATAGCCCGTTCAAAAACTAATGTAAGTTAAGCTGACATTTCCATGCTCAAACTCTATGTCCACTTCAGAATTTATGTAGCAGTAATTAACCTCAAGACATTGCATACATAAGAAGTTGAATTTGCAAGCAAGACAAGCAGTCATGATGAAATTACTCAGTATTTTCAAAGCCAATATGATTAATAATTCTAAGATACACCGATACAGTAACTCGAGCCAAACCCGAACTCACTCAAAAAAAGTTAGATCCAGACTTAATTATATGGGCTTTTTTTAAGAAAATATAATACTTTAAGCTCGATCTAAATAAACTCGGCACGAATTGAGCCCGACTTGAATAAGCCGAACTGTTGGAATTTCCAACTCTATATGTATATAGAGTTGATAATTTTGCCGCTGAAAAAAGTTAGAGTCGAATTTGATTATATGAGCTTTTTTGTACTACTACAAAATACATATTTCGAAGCGTGTCCTTAAGAGTGCTTAATCAAAAAGGCACTTTGAAAAAGTGAGGCAAAACATATCAGAGTGCTTCTTGAAAAAAGTGCTCCTGTATGTTAGGCTTTTCAGAGCACTACTTTAAAAAGCGCTTAGAAAGAGTAAAATAAAGTAAAAAATATTAATGTCCTCAAAGAGCGCTCCTAAAGGACTAATTCTTCCATAGTGCTTTAAAAAGGATTTCAAAAGAGTAAAATTAAAAAATTAAAAAAATATTGATATCTTTTAGGAGCACTCTTTTAAAATAGCACTCCTGAAGGACTAACTCTTTTAGAGTACTCTTTTAAAAAGTATTCTAAATGAGTAAAATAAATAAATTTAAAAAATATTTATATATTTTAAGAGTGTTCTTATATAGGGCTAACCCCTTTGAGTGCTCTTTTAAAAAAACACTTTGAAAGAATAACATAAAAAAATTAAAAAAATATTTATATGGAAGAGCGCTTCTAACAAGTTAACTCTTGCTCTTTGAAAAAATAAATTTGATTTAATTTGAACCCAACACAAATAAATTCGGTCCACATGAATTAATGACTCCACACACACATGAATAAAGACGCACAAAAGCATATGGACGATATCACACTTTTTTTATCAGCATATATATGTATATAAACAGTTCAGGTTTTTTTTTTTTCCCTCACTGTAAGAAAAAGTACAGTGGAAACAATTTGGATCTGAATTATTTGGTCTATCAAGTGGCTCTCAAATGTCGAGAAAAATGAGAGAGAGAGGGAGAGAGAGGATACCTTGTACTAGAGTAATCAAAGAGTTTGCCAGAAGCAGAAAACACGAAGAGTGCAATCTCAGCGTCACAGAGAGTAGAGAGCTCCATGGCCTTCTTGAATAGACCTTTCCTTCTCTTTGAGAAAGCCACTTGCCTCGCTGCTACGTTCTCTATTTTCTCTATCGCTATCTTTCTTCTCGTCATTTCAAACTAAACACACACAGAGTCAAATCAAAATTATGGAAATTAGGGAAATCTACAGAATAATCCAGCCTCATAAAAAGAACAATTATGCAGAATATTATGCTCTGCGCGTAAATCGAGACAGATAATCATATAGAGAGAGAGAGAGAGAGGCCGGATATAACTGCAGATCTATGAAAGGAAAGAGAAAGTAAATAAGAAATGGTGGAAAAGTTCTCAGTTCTTACCAGAATATTCTGTAATGGGATGACTGTGTCGAGCGAGAGAGAGTGCGTCTTGGAGAGGAGAGCAAACGGAACTTCTTAGTGAGATTGAGGAAACTGGGTCCCGCAGGAGACGGCAGACAGGCCTTGCCTGTATTTTTTTTTTTTAAATTTTAAATCTTGCCACCTTATCTTCACTTTTATTTTTTTCCTTTTGAGTAAATTAATTTCATTAATTGCAGCTTTATATGGGCACAGGCATTGCCTTTTAGATAGCCAATCAATACAAGAGAAATCCCTGCCTTGCATGCGATTGGCTTAAAATAAATTATACTATGGTAGTCTCAGTTTTGTAAAGACACGAATTATTTTGTTTTAAATTAAAATTTTTAAACTATTATAAAAAATAAAAAATATTAAAAAATAATATTATATATATTTTTATTTATATCTTTTATTTAAAATTTATTATTTAAAATTTTACTTATTTTTATTTATTATATTTTTATTATATTAGTATTAATGAAATGGATAAAAATATGTTAAAATAAAAATGAAGGAAATATTATTTTATATTTGTGTGTGCGTCGACGTGTACCAGTTTGCTGTTTTCTTTAACTATTCAGACGTGATGGCCCAGATGGCGTTATTATAAATAAGGATATTTATGGGATGTAACAAGATTGAGAAACTCTTATCTCATGTTCCATTCTAAAAAAAAAAATTAGAATTGAATTTTAATCTTGTGTCCTGTCTCGTTTTAAAAGTCATCTCATCCCGTTAGAAATTAGGACGAGACTAGAGTAAGATTGGGATATCTTGCCGTCTCGATAAATCAAATAATATTAGAGAATTATCTAAATAATAGCATTCATTAAAATTTTAAATCATATAATTTATTAAGTTTAAAATTAAAATAATATAAGTACATAAATCACAACAATTTGAGAGTAACAACAATAGGCAAGCCAAGCATAACATAAAATCATTGTTTTTCCACTTTAGTTGAGATGTATTAAGCTAATTACTCTTTCAAAAATAAACTAAAAAATACAATATAAATAGAAGTTATTAAGTATATAGATATAAGAATAAATTATATTAATATAATTAATATACTATAAAAAAAATTTTGTCATATTTATTCTATGTCATTAAAATTATTAATATACAAAATTTAGTTTTATATAATAATTGTAAATATTAAAATTATAATTGATATAATTAATATAAGTATAAATTATATCAGTACAATTAATATATTTAATGTATATTTTTTAAATAAAAAATAATATATATAATATTTGGGACAGGACAGAACGTTCCGATGGTAATTTCATGTCTCGTCTCATCTCGCAAAGTCCTGTTCCGATTGATTTTGAGTCGGGATGAGACTTGTCTTGATATGATAGGGATGATACCGAATCAATCGAGACAGGTATAAGCTAAACATTCCTAATTATAAATAGCTACATGTGGTCCCCACACGGCTGGAGAAAGTTTAATTGTAGATTGGGTTTAGCCTCTTGTAGGAGTAAGTTTAATTATATTTTTCTTTTTCGAATTATAAATAAACTCTATATTTTTATTAAAAAAATGAATAATTAGCAATGTGGTAACATGCGCTCTTGATGGGCCTAAACAGGAAAGTCTCTGCCGCCATAACTATGTCAAACACAATGCAACAATAATCATGTCGTTCACGTTCCGTCGTACTAATTTTTGCTTTCAATCCATTTTGCACGGAATTTTAAATTCAAATTAAAATTAACCAACACACGCAATTGCGCTGTAGTGTACGGATGTTTGTTTAGTTTAGTTTAGAGTGGGGTCAAATTGAACTTGGATAGGACTGATCATTTGCTAGTTAAATTTTAAGAAAAAAATGATTTTAATGCAATGGATTTTTTTCCCCTGAACCAGCAACCACATCCCATAATCAAAAACAGAAAGTAGAAGTAGAAAAGAAAAAACGGTATTAGGAAAAAAAAAAAAAGGTGGCTGGCAACAGCAGAGCTAAAGGACTGATGGAACAAAGAAGACAGAGATAGGAATTCCTAGCCATAGATGCTGCGAGGGGACCAAAATGCAAAATTACATATAGCGGGGGTAAGAATTAAGTTAGCATTTTTTACAAGTGAAAACTAAATAATTTTGGCAAAAATTTTGTGACATCCAAATCCTGCATAAACAAGCCATTAGCAAGGATATTTACCAAGGGAGAAGGGGTTGTAATGCCAATCTTTTCCATACTTTTTTTTCTAAATGTAGGACAATAGTTTTATTATAAAGTATTAGAATTCACTCGAAGTAATGGAAGTTAGTCAAGAGTTTTTTCAAGATTAATAAATTCCTCCACTAAAATTACACAACCCCAATCAAAAAATTTCTTATTTAACAATATGAACTAGTGGAAGATAAATTAGAATGAACCAAAACCTCTATAAGACCATCCTCAAAACAGCAATTCAAACCAAAGTTTAAAGCAAATACCACAGATTGAACAAAGAATATTCGACCAAATCACCTCTTTCACTTAGCCTCTCATTTGAAGATTCCATTAATCCGCTATATGAACTCTCTACATTGATTCTTGTTCTTGACCCAACAATTAGCCATCCAATATGAATCCAGAGAATCTGATGCAATTTAAATAATCAAAGAGTCATAAAACACTATTGCAAACCTAAAAACTCTATCCAACTTATAACACCTCCAACTGAAAAATAGAACCCACCTCAAGCATACTAAAGCAGTCCTCTAATAATACTAGATAAACGCAATTACTTAGACCAAGTTGAAATAGTGCTCATTCTCATACATGCTACAATCAAAAGAATAAGTTCCAACTAAATCCTTTCTGGTGCACCTTCTCTTTTTAAAAGGGAAGATTGCCTCCTTCCTCTAGCCCTTTCAGCGCTTCTAGATGATCCTTTATACCCATATTAGGAATTCTACTTCCCCTAGGTCTGAAAGGTGGATCTCCTCTCTTTCTCTGAAAGAGAAGACTTCCCCCTCTGTTGACACATCCCTAGGTCAGGGATTAGTATGCCCTACTATTACTCAAATCAAAAGTTCTTAACCAATTATTGCTCTTTCGGTTTATTTTATGAGGTTGGATTTATTTCAAGGTTTTGCCTATCCTATTTATTTTATTTCACTCCTTTCCCCGTTAAGCTCTAATTGAGGAATGGCAATATTGTTTTGGCTTGGCCTTCTCTCTTCTCTTTGAAGGTAGTTTCCTATTCATATTTCAATATGTTATATTGCCTATATCTTCCTCTATTTTTAGTTCTCGAGGTTCTCAAGTTTCAATCTTAATGTAATGGATTGGATTTCAACCTTGCTATAATAGAGATATGGGTAAATTGCTTGACAACTATCTAAAAGGAAAGCCATGTCCATATAGTTTTCCTCTCTTACACAGAGCAAACCTTACTCTATGTGCTTTCTTGGGTGGGCTACCATCCTTTTCCATTCTACTACTTTACATCTTAACTTGTCTTTGTCTTTGTCTTTGTGTCTGCTAATTCAATTGATGTTGTGAGGCTGAGAAGGATGGCTCGACATGGATCCCTATTCTTATTTTATTCCTAGTTCTACATTCTTCAATAGAATAAAAAGTAGTTGCCAATCACTTAGTTTTGAGTTCAAATTTTGATTCATTCTAGCTCTAAAAGATGGAATAATAAAAGTTTTTAGTACACATGAGACTTATCTGCACTCTTTGTCTAGTACCCTAGATCATGAAAAATTCCCTTTATGTGAAGAGTATGTAGCTTCTCCCCACCTAGTGGGATAAGGCTTGTTGTTGTATGCCAAGAGTGGCTTCTAACGTATAGGAGAACATTAACCTAAAATAGTCATGCAAGTCTATTCAACAATTCCATATCAACAAGTATAGATTGTAAAGTAAATATGAGAGAAAGAATTACACAATAAAGAATAGGATTCGAAACTATGAACTAATTGAAACATTAGCCTCAGTACATTCAATCCCATATCCTCCATCCATAAGACTCTTGATTAATCAACTCGCATCTAACATCAATCATCACGCCTTGCAATTCAAGAACCAACACCTCTATTATTATTGTGGACCTATTTTTCCTAATCTTCAAATCCAATTTAACTAATACAAAATCAAACAGCACCCAACAAAGATAATCATCTGCCATTTCTATGCAAATAGAGCATCTCCATACTCTACCCACTTGTGGCCCAACCCTAGCGAACAATTAGTTCCAAATATGACGGTTGCCTACCACCTTTAATCTATCAATCCACAATGCTTCAAATTTTTTGCCATTGTGTCCTAATTTATTTCCTCCAAGCATGCACCTAGACCTACACATACACCCCAACCCAAAGCACTAAAGCTTCCACTTGCTCTCTCCTGACATGAGTTAAGAAAAGAGATTTGTCAATCATGTCACTATCACATGGAAAGCCCTTCGAAAAGGAGGGAAAGGGGAAGCCCTGGTAGAGCATGCTCTGCAAGGCTGATGATGACCCACTCTTACAAGGGAAACCATAAGAGAGAAAAACACTAAGAGATAGTCTCTTTCATAATGCTATGGAATTTATGTTTGAAAATTAGGTTACGTTTGGTAACCAAGCTAGAATTGGTTGAAGAGAAATGAAAGTGGAACCAAAATCATGAAGTTGAGTAGTTTGGTATACATCAACTCAAATGTTCAAGAATCTCTATTTAGCCAAAATGCCTTGAATCCAATTTCCATCACTATCATGATGGAATTGGCTTTATTTCACATAATTCTCACCACTACCCTTAATATGTCTCCCTATCACTGTCACTGACAATGCTATGATAAATCAAGCAAAGAGAAGGGCAACAGTGAGAGTTTTTTCCTTTAATTTTGAAAGGGACATTAGGGTCTTTATACATTTTAAATACACTTAATACATAAAATTATATTAAGAATTTATCTAAAAAACAAACATATTTTTAAAACTCAATTCTATTTTACTTCTAACTCTGATTAGATTCTATCAAAAAATTTTCTATCATACCAAACTAGACATAGATCAAAATCTATCTAAATTTAAAGGGGACATTCTCTTAAAGGCTGAGAAACATTAATCTAGGCCATGTAGCTTTTGTTTGTCTATTCCTATTGGTTAACAAACGCTTCCATCTAGCTTTAAGATCACCGATCACCTTATAGCATAACTTATCACAATTAATATTTTCGTGCTTAGAGTAGTCATTATTAATGTATCCTGGCTTACCAAATCACACATATGACTCTCAAAATTTTACAAATTAACTCTTGTTTGAAAATTTATTTTTATCGTTAGTATTAATTTATATTGATATAATGATATGACTTTGATGACATTCTTGTTCGCCTCACACCAATTGTATATACTAATTTATTTAGCTTTAAGTTTAAGTAGCCACTTCGCACACATAAGTTCAAGTTTGATTAAAATCACATTAACTAATTACTCAAAAAAAAAAAATCATACTACATAAGAAAGTATTGGAATAACTTGGAGAAACTTAAATAAAAATTAAATCCAAGAAATAATGCATGTGTTTTACTAAAAATAGCCCTTAGTTTCATTGGGGCCTTCATTAATTACAGCATTGGGTCTACATCCTGCAGTTTCTACTATGTCCCCTGCAAATCTCCTTTATTTTGCAGCCTTGTATATCAATACAACTAGTCTGGAATCATTTTCTTGCTTTTTGTTTTTGTTTTGTTTTTGAAACTCTATATTTTCTTTGAATAATTACTCTTTTGATTTTATTTACAGAATATTTGTCAATTTTTAATGCTTCACTTAATATTTTTACTCTTATTAAATACTTTAAATAAAAATATTAGTAATGAGATTTAACAATATTTATTAAGTACAAAAGTAAAAACTTATTAAATTTTAAGATAAAGTTAATAAAATTTAATATTTTTTAATTTTAATGAAACATATTAAAAGTAACTTTTAAATAGAATCAGATTAAATTTCATCCACATATAATAAACTCACCAACTAAAATGATGTTATATTGTCAATTACACACACACACATTTGAAATTAATAGCGTGGTTCTAAAATTGTGTGTGAATTCTGAAATTCTTCACTAATAAATGATGATTAGGATGGTGGTTGGTAGACCCACGCGGAGTTCTGGCGCAAACCTAAAAATGGGCAAGGCAGATAGGGGAAAGTATTTGTATACATTTAAATTCTAAAATGTTCAATCATCACATCATCATTCATTTCACTTTTAACTTTTTACCTAGAATAATATATTATTTCTACAACACATTAGATTCGTATTTACTACACACTAAATAGACTTTTGCAAGAGGGGCCAAAAATAGGAAAAATATAATAATAGGTCCTCATACTTTGATTATATTTTATTTTAAGTCTCTACAGTTTAATAAGCCTGTAATATTATTCCTAGCTAGTTCCTTTAGTTTAACAAATTTTAGTTCTTGTAGTTTTAAATTTCTTTATTGTCGTGTTTTTAATTTTGTCTTTATCTCTCATGTTAATTCAAATATGCAAGGAAGCTTTTTTGCTCTCTTATCTTCTTTTTTACTCATACTTAATCAATTAATTTTCATATCAAGAAATACGTTAGCAGAGTTACAGTAAAATTAATTCTATCTTATGGCTGTTAGTGCATTTTTAAAATTACAAAGACTAACATTGCAAACGAATCAAACTAAAAAGATTAATTAAGTAAAACTACAAAAATTAAAAATAAAATATAATCAATATATAAGAACCTACTATATATATATTTTCCAAAAACAAAAAACAAAAAGTGAGAGAGAGAGAGAGAGAGGTGAACATGTACACCAATCTAACAATATATTTGAGTCTTTTTCAAGGGAATGAATGAATGAAAGTGGACGGCTACAAGACTTGAATTCTACATTAAAATTATTCATCATGTTTTAAAATTTTGTACTCTAAGTATATGTTTTCAACTATCTCACATATCTTATAGAAATTGTGATATTGTTAAATTTGTCAAAAAAAGGAAACAGTTCAAGATTCTATTTTTACTCTTATTTATTAAATGAATGTAAACATCATAAAACCTCCATTCCTTTTCACGGATCAATTTACAAGATCTCATTAAAAGTCTGAGGCTAAAAAAAAATCATTAGATAATATTACAAACACATTATATTATAGACCAACAACATATTTTAGAAGACACTTTATAATTAGAACTCGGAGGCAGTATTACATCTGAAGTTAATTATGGTGTGTGTCGTACCATGCGCACGTGCATGTGTGTATCTTGTTTGTTTTAATTTGATTGGAAATGTTTAAATATAATTTTTAGTGCTGTATTCTTTGGAAGTCAAGTCAATTCAAAAGTAACATTTATTTTTCTAAATTAATAAACAATTGCTTTATAGTTTGTTTCCTGCAAAGTCTTCTTTGGCCACAAAACAGAAAAGAAGAAAAAAAAAAAGCAAGGAAAAGAAAAATCAAACACTACCAATGAATGCGACGAATGACTAGCATTACTTATAGTTTGGCCAAAAATTGATTATTGAGCCACAATAATTGATTTTTGCAAAATTTATCCAAAATATCCCCAAAGTTAACAATTGATTATTGAGCCAGAATCATATTTTAAAATAAACTTTAAAAGATTGCTTATAAATTTAATTTTACTGTTAAATAATATATTTTATTTTTTAAATAAAGTTTAACAAAATTTAATAATATTAAATACAACTTTATCAATAATTTAATTTTAAAAAGAAATATCTTTTATGATAATTTGTACAGCTAAAATTATTTTCAGTATCCAAACAGATTGCATTATAATTATAATAAAAATCAATCATATTAATCATTTATTTTTATAATTAATTATACCTAACTGAAATTCAAACGAACTCTTACCTCATTGCAATATATAGCCAAAAGAAATTAGTTTGAGAGAGATAATTGTAGTACAATTTTCTCAGCGTGGCCTGATAATAGCCCTCCACACACACATAATGGTTTTTAAGAGACCATTAAATGGATGCTAGAGATTGTGTTTCCCTGCTCATAAGTACAGTTCTCTAAGGAATGAACATTTATGCTTTTATTTGAATAAAGACAACCTGCAACACATCGAAAGCCAAATTCTTGTCAGTGCTATGAAGAATATTACAATGACCACATGAATAAATAAATTAGCGCCAACAAGGTAGAAAATAGAAGCAGTATCTGTTTTTTTTTTAATTTCACAAAATGAATGGATTGTATATTTCTTAGTGTAAAACCTATTCGAAATTTCATTTAAATTATTTTGCAGAATTGTAACCTTCCAGTGTGGTAAACACAGCAAGCAAAGTCTACATATTCAACTCAAACCATAAGCATCAAATGTAGACGGTTCAAATTACATTAAACAAACCTAGAGGATATATTTGAAATTTTAATGTTTTTATTATTTCAAAACGGTAAAATATATGATAAAATAACATTATTGTAACTATGAACTTTGGAAAACAATGCTCAAGTCTAAAAACAAATAAAACTTTTAGAAACCAAAATTTGTCAGGGCAGTAACACAGTAAAACACAGGTAATACAATCCTACTATAGTCCAACATTAATTTAGAGGCTTGATTCAGCTCATTTAAATATATGAAAATTGATTTAATTCTTGCTTTTGTATGGATGAAATATTGATCATTGGTCTTACAACAAAGTAGATAAACTAATTAATTACCCAAGCCTGAGAGACTTATCAGAACTATAGCAGTCTTGAGGAGGATTAATGTCAGATGAACTGCAAACGATGATGGACTCAGAAGACTGCCCTTGTTCATGCACAAGGCTCTGTACATATAAAGCTCAAGTGTATATTTGTGTTACAAGACTTTCAATTCATAACATCTGAAAAGAGAGGCAATAATTTAGAGGATAAGAGTCTGAAAATCTGTGATCACCTGCTTCATTCTTCGGTTTTCTTCCATGAGTTGGATTCCCTGAACATGAAAGTCAAACATATTGCAGTAGCAAAGGTGACTGAGAGTGTACGTGGAACATTGCTAGTGTCATAAAAAGCATCACTTGGGTTTTTCTTGAAATCCGTTATGTATTAGTGAAATCACATTCATTGGTTTGTCAGAATATGGATCTCAATTTTCTCATCATGGGAAATTTTCAAATTTTAGTGTCATAAGTGAAGAGAAGAGTAAGAATCAAATCTCTAAGAATTACTCCGTTTTGTGGAAAACACTACTCCAAAAGGGATTGTCGTAGAACTAATAATTCAAGTACGAATACTCATAAGTGACCCTTTATGTGTATTCCGTTTTGTTCGTATTATAAGACATTGCTTTGGAAATATCATATTAAAAAATACAAGACATATTGAATCTTTTAAGGTGTAATTAATACATTTTTTTCAAAAATACCCTCAATTAAAGATGTAAGAAAAGGAAATATAGAAAGAATCTGTAATTTTAAATACCATTAACTAACTTAATGGAGAGTATAAATTAGTTAAAAGTTTCTTATAATTCTGAATGAAGATTATAAAAAGAGTGGCGTATGCATTAATTTCACATACATTAATTGCTACTGTACAGATAAACTAAAGGAGTAAAGTCAAGTAGTTTTCAAAGTCAACTAGAAATTTCCATCAAGCAGTGGGTAAAATCCTTTGAAGATGACTTAAAATACATGATTGGATTGTAAGTGACAAAACATCCTTGCTACAGCATGCACAATTACTAAGATTCAATCCAAGTTACTATTTTTCAAAGTTAAAAAACAAAAAACAAAAAACAAAAAAGTCAAGTAGTTTTTGATCAAGCTCTTCAATGGTTTTGTTTTCTCCTATTGTTCCTTCTACAATACTGTGAAAGATCCATTTTATGTTTGGAACTACTTCAAGTGACTTAAATGTATTGAATACACTTCAATAAAATTGACATAAAATATTTTCCTGCTTCTTGAAATATAAGTTATATAATGAGATTTCATTTTACGAGCTACTGTACACATCAATGTTGCTTATATATAATCAGTTGATAAAAAGAGAAGTTCATAGACCCTAACTTTCTTTGGCACATGTAGATATAGATATAGCATATCCCAAAATTCTAAGTTTGGCGTAGTATTTACCTTTCTCTTAAGTGCATTGATCTGTTTTAAGATTCTTTCATCCTGAAACAATATATAATCATAGTAAATATGTCAACTCAAGAGCTTGAATGAAATAACAATACAAAATCACAGCTCGTAAAGGTAAAGGATAAGGAAGAAAACATGCCAATTTCTTCACACAGCGAAAGATAACTAGCAGTTATAATCACTAAACTAGATATATTTTTGATGCACAGTAAAGGCATTAATTTTTTTTAAAATGTACAAATATAAAGAAGTTTGATAAGTACCAAAATATAAATTTCCAAAATAGGAAATGTGCACATCATCAGGTAGATTCTACATCAGCAATAATGTAGGTTTAAAGAAATCTACTGAATCTTGTGAAAGAACATTAAAAGATGTTATCTAAAGAGAAGTCATAGGGCAAAATGCAGGAAGCCATATCGTTCATAACTTAGCTTGTGAACAAGATATAGTGACTATTATATTGATGCATGATTGATGAAAAGATATTATATTTCTCCTACATTCAATTCCTAAAATTAAATGAAGAATACAAATTTTATACTCCCTATGATCAAAAAATACAAGGCATTTTTTTTGACGTTAAATATTTAAAAATATAAGGTATTTGAGTTTTTCAATGTATAATTAATGAGTTTTTTTTTTCCAAAAGTACCTTAATAAATAAATCACTCAACCATTAACCTTCAAGTAATCCACCCAATTAAATAAGGGTAAATATAAAAAAATGGTATCAGTTTAAAGATAATTAACTAACTCATTATAAGTATAACTTGGTTAAAAATATCTTATATTTTTAACGGATGGAGTATGACAAAGTATTATTCCTCCTGTCCCAAAATGCAAGTTACTCTAATTTTAATTTTACCCAGACCAATAAAGTTGGTTAAAGTTAATTAATGGAACATCTTGAACTTTACAAAAGTTACTTGAACATTTTGAAATAGCCCTTGTTAAAATGTATTCTCATATTAATGATATATCTCTATTAATATCTTACGTTTTGGGGAAAATTTAAAAAGATGACATTTAATGACATAAAATGACTTACGTTTTCGGATGAAGATGGTAGAATTTTGCTTAGAACTTGACAAACTTTAGAGAGGACGAAGATCAAAGCACAAAAAGGATCAAATTGAAACCTTTGTTTTTGAAACACGGGACAAGCCTCTTTCAAGTCTTTCCTCTAGTGTCTGCAATTCTTCAAGCGTGCATCCTTGAAGCTCTTCCCCGTTCAGCTGCCTGTTGAAATAATTTATAGCGCAAATCATCATGTGTCTTAGGAACATAAAAATCATGTGAACGTTCATGCGTGGTATGTATAGTATAAAGTTGTCTACCTCAATTCACGAGTCTTTTCTGCTACTGCTACCTTGTGCAGTTCCTTCTCATCATCTTCGAGCTTGTACATATTTCAAAAGGAAAAACAAAAAAACAAAAAAAAGGAAAGATACAAAAAGACTTGAGAAGATTAGCCTATTATGATTTCATATCCATTACCTCACATATTATCTTATCATAAATTGATTTCAACATTATGTCACCCCTCAAAGCAATGCTCTTTTTAGCTCTCCTGTGGAGCTAATTCAGGACCTAGGGTTTTCTGTAGGGCAAGTCAGTTTCACTTTTGTTCATAACATTAGCCCCTATTATCCTGGAACCTGATCAAATCTAGAAGGGGAAATATCTTCAAGGGAAGAGAGAGAAGAAAAGGAAGTTATGGACAACAAATTACAAAGAATCAAGAGGGAGGGAATTATAGGTATAATGAACGTAATTTCTTCAGTGAGTTTAATTCTTCCAAAGAATAAGATCTTTTTTTTCTTTTTCTTTTGTTTTTTTTTTGAATTGCTCACAAGTATCCTACTAGTTGAAGTAATCCTATTCAAGGCATGGCTGGACATTAAATGTGAACCTCTCCTAACAAGTATTCAAACCTAGATTTGCCATGTTGTGAGGGACTAACTCCTCCCGCTGGACCCATCCCCCATCACTGAAGCAGATCCTTTTTACCCTCTGGTTCATTTGGTAAGTGTTTGCTTAGTTATTCAGTAGTCATAATTAAGATATTATTTGGGGGGGGGGTTGCGTAAGTCATAATTTAGAGAAACTAGGAGTTAAGCATGTTATCCAAAATAGAAAAAGAAAAGAAAAAAGTCAAGTAAACAGGGTAGGCTGCCGCATATGTTTATTTGTACAAAGCATAAGACATGGTATATTGTTAACAGCTAATAAGTAGTGCAACTTTCTATAAATATAAATATATTGATGATTGATATTAATTCATTGATTACCTGCAGATCAACAGATGGTTTGCCTTGTATTTGAATGGCTGAATGTTGATCATACCTTTCTATTACCTGCTGAATACTGAAACCAACAAAAACAGTAACTCATTTGAGTGTCTTTATCAATTTTATTCCTTGAAATCAGTTAATGCAAAAGATCATATCATTAAGCACAATTTTATACATGTCAAATTAGATAATGAAATTCTTCAGAATCCCAATGGTTTTACTCAGAACCTTCAACTGTGCGGATACTAAACATGATTCAATTACTTCATCAAATCCATAAAAATATTTATTCATTCGTTGACCTTTTAGTTATTACTTAACAGAAACAACAATACTAAAACACTAACACTGCACTTTAAGGTTAGAAATTAATAAATAAACTGAAATCATGTAGATTCTAACTAGTGGTCAGCTTATAATTCTAGCCCTTTGAATTCAATTTATTAAACGAGGAAGATCATGGAGTTATTACAAAAGCTCCTTATCAGCGGTTGAGAAATGCTGCCGTATTATCAGATTAAGAAGTTATACAATAAAATTCAAAACATATAGTCCTAGCTAGCTAGTTTTATAGATCATACAAAGTGAGAGATGCTAAGCGCAAACACACACACACACACATTGATGATGATGATAACGATGATGATGATGATGGGCATTCATACAGTTTCATATTGCATTCTTAAATCACTCACGATAATATTGTGGAAACCTCTCTCTCTCCCCCCCCCCAACAGAATTAAATATCCCCTTGTACATGTGTGTGTGTGTGTGTGTGTGTGTGTTCAAAATGAAATTGAGAGGAAGAGACAAAAAACACACACACACACACAAGAACCTTGAGCTAGCATAATCATAGAGCTTGCCAGTGGAAGAGAAGACCAAGAGAGCAATCTCAGCATCACAGAGAGTTGAGAGTTCTTGTGCCTTCTTGAAGAGACCTTTCCTTCTCTTTGAGAAAGCCACTTGTCTTGCCGTTACACTGTCGATTTTCTTTATCTGTATTTTCCTTCTCGTCATTTCCCCTCTTCTTCATCCGTAACACATGGTTATTAAATACATTAAATTATGCAGTCAAAAAATTAGATATACATATATATCAGCAGAATCCAAGTGGGGGTAAAACTGTACTTGAACTGATAAATGGAGACGCTATTATACATGCAGTAAATCCAGTGGGTTTCACATGAGAAAGATCTACAATAAACTATTATTATTATTATTATTATTATTACTAATATTCTTAACAAAATCCAAGTATCCCACCAAGAACCGACAGATCAGAGATAAGAATCAGGAAAGAAGTGAGAAATTGTTGCTTTTGTTGATAAAAATATAAACTATAGAAAGATTAGTGACCTTGAAAGAATAATAAGAAATAATTGAAAAAAGTCCAATATATCGAACTGAAGAATTTCCAACTCAACAATATCAGTCCAAAGGTCACGACCAAAGCAGGTAAGAGAAACTCAGCTATCAGTTGATGAAAAAGGGAAAGCGAGAAAAGAAAAAAAAAAAATTCGAGTGTTTCGAAATGAACCTCAAACCAAAAGTTACTGAGGGTGAAGACCCAAAAATAAACAAAAACTCCAAATAAAGCATTTTTAGAAGAAGGAAAGTGAAACCGAAGCTCCAGAAAAATAAGGAATCCAACCTGGTAGATATTGAAGAGACTTGTATTATGAATATCGCATCAGACTTCTTCTCTCTTGTTCTTCAGCTTTCGCGGTTCGTACATTAATGGCTTTTCAAAGGAAATTAATGTATATGCTTTTTTTTTTTCCCCCTTTATGGGCAAGTTGATGTTTCCTCCGTAGCCACTATTTTAATTTCATATTCTTCCTTTTTCTGTTCTCTACCATTTCACTGTCGGAGAACTTAAAAAGAAAAAGTAAAAGGGTCCGTTTGGCTTTGCTCACATAACTTTTGTTTATGTTTGTTTATTTCTTTCTACCAAAAAAAAAGTTTGAAAGGAATTATTTAAGAAAAATAATAATAAAATCCTTTTAAATTATGTAAATGATATTTTGATCATTTAAAAATATCATAATTTTCATAAAAATTTTACAAATTTTTTATCATTAAAAAATTAATATACAAGATTAAATTGTCCTTGATTGAAATAAAAATTTCAAGCCTTAGAATATCTACTTTTGAATTTGTGAATTGTTATTGAATTCTTACAATTTTAGAGGAAAAAAAGTTGTGAATATTATAACAAAACTTGTAAATATAAATTGATATTTGCAACACTTGAGAAATATCAAGATTTTAAATATGAATTGGTAAATTACTGTTGAATTTTTGTGAATTTAAGAAAAAAGTTGTGAATCTTAAAACAAAACTTGTAAATAAAAATTGATATTTACAATACTTGAGAAATATTAGAATTTAAAATATGAGCTTGTGAATTGTTGAATTCCCTCAAATTTAAGAATAAAAATTATGAATCTTAAAACAAAACTTATAAATAACAATTGATATTTGCAACACTTAAAAAATATTAAATTTCAAATGCGAACTTGTGAATTGTTATTGACTTCTTATAATTTTAAAAAGAGAAGTAATGAATTTTAAAACAAAACTTGTCTAAGGCTTGGGATTTTTATATAAATTCCTTAATGACAAAAAAGTTTTTAGAGATTTTAAAAGAATTATAACATTTTGAGAGGACAAAATATCATTTATATAATTTAAAGAGGTTTCAATGTCATTTTTTCATTATTTTAATCTTTATTTAATGGCCTAAAAAACAATTTGGACCTTAATTTATAGGTTAGAGGCAATATAAACTCTAAATTCATATTTAATTTATTCTAAACTTTGGGCAATTAAACTTAGAACAATTGTACTCTTATCATTAAATTGACATAAATGTCCATTATATTAGTGTCAAGTTACTCTCTCTCTCCCCTACCCTCATTTATCACTCCTTCCCTACCTTAATGCCTCAACGTTCATTTTGTCCTAACTATCAAACGGGTCCATCTCTTCTTTCTTGGCCAACTCTGTACTCTGGGGTTATGGAATTCAATGTCAATTTTTTTGCTGCTGAAGAATTCAATACCATCATCATGCTTATCCTTGCCATTTCACTCATCATCTTCCTTACCTATTGCTGCCCCGAGTTTATGGAGGACACATGAGCAAGCCAATAGAGGCGAAGTTAAAAAATTTTATTAGGAAAAGCTGAGATAACAAAGCATGTATGTTAATTGAAGAAAAGTAAAATCTATATATATCACTAATAAATATACATCTTTATTTTTTAAATTTTGCTCATTGATTTTTCATGACATAAGAATAATTAAATATCATAACTATAATAAATTTTCAATAATTTCCTTCTCAATATAAACTATTATTAAATTGGTAAAAATTTCATCTTTTCTATCAACATTGAATAATTTAAACACATTTTCAAGATCTAAAATGATGTTCAATCAAAAAAGCTCTATTACTTATTTAGTAAATTTATTATTTAATTCTTTCAATTGATAATTATAGTGAATAAATATATCAACACAATAATGATGCTCAATTGTCACAAATTTTTTATATCGATAAAATCTGATTATGTCATGTAAAAACCATTCATATAATAAATTTCAATAACTTGGTTAATTATTACAGATTTTTTTTTTTAGAAGAACATATATTAATTATAATCTCTTAACTTTTGGATAAGTGATGTTATAGTAGATATCAAGCATATAGCATTCAATATATTTTAGAATTTTGTTGCAATGCTTGACACATTTTGTTAATAATAATTCTCATAATTTCTTTTGTCAAATATAAAATAAAAGAAAGATCAAATAAATAAATACTTTAAGAGTAAGTATAGCATTATCTTGTTAAAAATTAGTAGATCCTATAACAATTATAGCTTCAAGCTACTTAAGTAGTTGGACTATACATAATACATGTGTAAAAGATTACATATAGAATTAAAATAAAAATTTCATATAATGTCTTAAATTTTTTATAATGTGTCAACTTAGAAGGGTTAAAAATATATAATTTCTATATTTTACTAAAAAAAATTAAAAAGTTTGTGACGCTGTATTCCTTGCTGGTTCTCTCCTGACTCTAGCCCTACAAGCCAGCACTGGCAGCTCCTAAATTCAGAGGAGGTCAAGTGTTCACATACAAAGAACAAGAAGGGGCAACGATATTCAGTGAAGAAACGGTAATTTAATTGGCAATGGAAGATTTGGTTTGGAGTACAAGGGAGTGCTCAGTAATGGCACTATGACCGCCATTAAGTTGTTGCACAGAGAGGGGGTGAGATAATAGTGTGACTTGACATGGTGAAAATTGCATATCTGATTCCATTTCTTTAAAAAAAGTAATGAGCATCTGTGCCAATTAAATGGCAAGGAAATTATGCTCCAAATTAAATATTCAAGATTTAGAATGTGTTTAATATGAATTTAGAGTTCGAACTCCTCCTGAGCTGATAATTCAGCATTTAAATTGTCATTTAACCCTATTTAAATGCTTTTTAATTAAAAAATACTTTTTTTGTGTTTATTACTTTTTGGTGTTCCCTCATACCCCTTGATTGTGACGGGAGAGGCTCCCGAGATTCAATTTTTTTATTATCATAGTAATTTTCTTGCATTTATTAGAAATATATAGGATAAAATTGAATTTTACATACATTAAGCAATTTAAATTAAGATGTATAATTAATTTATATAAGAAATAAATAAACAAATAAAAATCATCATATAAAGATACAATGGTCAATTAGTTGTTACCTCACCTCTATTCCCCCTCTTAACTAAACAAAATATCATTAAAAATTCCTCTCTTCCCCTTCCTTCCTTCAAACCAAATACACTCTTAAGCACTAAAAAATTAATTTAAGTATTTAAATTTTCATTGGTCAAAGTATAAATTTAGTCCTTTAACTTTATACAATATTTTATTTTAATCTCTTAATTTTATAAAATGCCCTTTTAATCCTTTAACTCTAATATTGTTAGTTTTATCCTAACAAATGCTTACATTGAACTTTTAAACTTATATAACATAAACTTTTATATATATATATATATATATAACATAAAATTTATATAACATAAACTTATATATATATATATAAAATAACTCTTTCTGTACTCTAACAAGTGTTAATTAGAATTATCCATACACATTTATGTATTTTTTTCTTCATTTTTTATTTTAATAGAAATTAAAGTGTGTGTTGTTTTGTACTTCATTAAAATATAATAAATTTTCAAATTGTCCTTAAATTACTTCTTTGCTCGAAGACACCTAGCCAAGTCAAAGAATGATGATATAAATGTAATTTCTCAACTCTTTCCAAAATACTTAATCTGCCTCATTCTTATTATTTTAATTATTTAGGCTATAATGATTCCCTGAATTTGAATATGTACATGTGCATAGATGAGATTATTTTTATATTACATAAAATATACTAATAGATCTTTTTGACCCCGTGTTTATTAACCTTAACTAAGACTTAGATATATCAATGTACATATTTGCTTGATCTTGATTATTTTTATATTTCACACTTGGGGTTCTTGCAAATCTAGAGTTAAGAAATCCAGTTGCCAACCTTAAATCATGTTCATAATAATTAATAAGATGAAAATAATTAATTCAACTTACACATAGAATGGATAATGGATGTGGTTAGAGGGTCCTAAAAAAAAACAAAGTTAGGGAGCTCAATTCACACCATAATAGTCTCATATCTCAACAATTTTTTTTAAAAAGTAGGCTAGCCTGTATAGCCTACATATTTTAACGATATGGGCCAACCCAACTTGTTTTCCAAAATAGGCTTGTTTTACTATTCCAACCCACAAAAAATTGCAGGCTAGTTAGTTGGGTTGAGCTCTTTTGCTTGGCTCTACCCTTGCCTATGTGATTTTCAAATATCTAAGCATCTTGTTCATAGCTTCCATATGCTTCTTTTGTGGATTACATGCAAATCAACTTACAACTCCTATTGTGAAGGATATATCTTGTGTGGGATAAGTGTATAAGTTTTTTCATCAGTTTCTGGTACTTTTTTTTACTCACAATCTTCTTATCAAGTTTCACTTCTAAATTGTAATTTAGTTTCATTAGAATTTTTGCTAGTCTTGCCCCCAACATTCTAGTCTCTTTGAGTTAATCTAAGGTATATTTTCTTTGACATATACTAATGTTTTTTTATGAGAGAGTTATTTTTATTAAGAACTTAACTGACATTAATTTAAGGGAGAATATCATTGAAGGAACCTTAAAAAATTTAATGTCTAATAAGAACTTTAAACAAATAAATATTAATAATTAACGAGTGAGGTTTAAATTTTAACAAACATTCCATCAACCCTAGTTCTTTTTTATATTAAATTTTTTGTGAATCCTTTATTAATATTCTCGCCTAGTCTAATGTCTTGGGATCTGACCGTCATCCTCCCTTTATATGTTCGTGTCGCAGCGTGTCATCAGTTTGCTGTTTTCTTATACTATTACCATAGACAGCTGCATGTGGTTCCCACGTGGCTGACAATAAGAGGTTCTTACATTTACAGTAATTGGGTTTTTCCTTTTGTAGGAATTAATTTAATTATATTAAATAAGAAAAAGAATATGTGGTCCGTACATGATTTATTTAATAAATTATTAAAAATAAATTAATTATTTTTTCTATGAAAATATATTTTTCCAAAAGTATAAACAGCAAGTATCTTTTTTCAATTATATATAAATTACATATTTATATAAAAAATGAATAATTTAAATAGATCAAATACAAGTACAATGAGTTGAGGGTAAATGAGTTAGCAATGTGGTTATATCACATGTAGCCTTGATGCGCCAAAACAGGATAGGCTCTGTTATCATAACTATGTCAGACGCTTTGCAGTAGTAATCGTGTCATTCATGTTCCCTCGTACTAATTTTGCTTTCAATCTATTTTAACCAGCCTTGACTCAGACACATTTGAACAGAATTTTAAATTTAAATTCAAATTCAAATTATACACACACAATTGTGTGTAGTGTGCGGATGTTTGTTTAGTGTGGAGCATTATTTTAAAATTAGACTGAAATGAATGGTTTGATCGATCGCACCGTCAACTGGACAATGGCATAACGGTTCGACTTTTGTTTCTTAAGAAGAAAAAACCATTCGGAGGATTGAATCAGGCGGTAGAGAAGCGAGTGCCACTATTAGACTGATTGGTCTAATGCTTTTTTAAAAAATGAATCCAAATTTCAAAATTAAATGTCAATATTGAGCGGGGCTAAACCTGAACCAAAAATTGTAAATTCTCAATTAGTATATTTTTTTTAATGATCCACATAATTCTTTTCAGCATAGCTTTTAACAATTTCATCTTTATATTGCTATACATGTTTGAAAATTAGGCTATGTTTGGTAGCCTATAATTGGCCAAATTGAAATGAAAATGAAACCAAAATCATGAAGTTGAGTGGTTTAGTACTCCTTCCATTATAAATTATAAAACACTTTTTGATAAACTTTTAAAAATATAAACTTCTAAAAATATATATCATTTAATATATTAAAAAGAGAAAGGACACAAATTAATTATAGAGAGAGAAAGAATAATATTAAAATTGATGTATTTAATGAAATCTTAATCTACTCAAAGTATCTTATAATTTGAGATAGAAAAACTCCTTTAAAAGTACTTTATAATTTGAGATGGAGGGGATATATATGAATTCGAATTTCCAAAAATGTCTTGAATCTAACTCCATTACTATCATGATGGAATTGGCTAAATTTCAAAGAATTCTCGTCACTATCTTTAATCTCCCCCCCTCTTCCATTACTATTATTGACAGTAGTGGTGATGAATCAAGTAAAGAGAAAGGCAATACTGAGAGATTTTTTTTCCTTTAATTTTGAAAGGGGCATTGGGTTTTTATACATTTTAAATACACATAATAAATAAAATTATATTAAGATTTTATCTACATGTCAAAGATTGTACTTTTAAAACCCAATTCTATTATATTTTCAATTCTAATTTGATTCCATTAAAAACTCTCTCATCATACCAAATGGAGCACATATCTAGATCAAAATCTATTTAAATTTAAAAGGTGCATCTGATTAAAGGCTCAAAAATATTAAATCTAGTTCATGTAGCTTTTGTTTGTCTATTCCTATTGGTTAACAAATGCTTCCATCTAACTTTATGAGATCATTGATCACCTTATTATAACATATATACCTATCACAATTAAGATTGTCTCAAGTGTAAGGGGACAAAGCCTAAGGCATTCCAATTTTAAGTCATTATGCTACTAAAATTGTCTCAAGTGTAAGGGGACATGATTTAAATCATGTTCAATGTGTTTAAGATTTAGAATGTATCAAATATGAATTTAAAATTCAAATTATCCTTGGGCATATAGTTTAGAGTTCAAATTACATACCCAAAATATATTTGTATACATTTAAATTCTAAAATGTTTAATCATCACATCGTCATTCATTTTTTTTAACCTTGAATAATATACTTAAAATTAATTAATTTTATTTGAAAATTTAATAAATTTTTAACTGTGTCCCTATTAAATATATGTATTTTAGTAATATATTTTCTTTTTTCAACATTCAATGGAGAGTAAAAGGAAAAATTTGTAATAAAACTTGAATGATGTAACTTATAAATAAGATAAAAAAATTCTTCTTTCTTTACCCTATAAATAAGACTAAAGGGAGCATGATTTCTACAATACCCTATAGTATAATTCTTCTCTTTAAGAGGTTTTTTTTTCTTCAGGGGGAATGAATTAATGGATGTGGGATGGCTACAAGACTTGGATTCTAAATTAAAATTATTCATCAATTAACATTTTATACTCTAAAATATAAAATATTTTCAACTGTTTCATGTATCTTGTAAAAATATGCAATATTGTTAAATTTGTCCAAAAAAAAAACTCAAGATTCTATTTTTATTCTTATTAATTAAATAAATGTAATTATCATAAAACCTCCATTTTTTTCACGGATCAATCTACAAGATCTCTCATTAAAAGTTTGAGGGTTAAAAAAAATCATTAGATAATATTACAAGCACATTGTATTATGAAAGAATGATAGATAGGTCTTACAAGGACCAATTAATTTATATTAGGTCTCAAGCGTCAAATTTTAAAAATTTACAACTCAATTTCTCAAATTTTCAATTCCATTGTCATGAATTTATAATTTGTATTTCAAATTTTAATAGAAAAAATAAAATTTTTTATTCTTAACTATGTTAAAATTTAAAAAATAAGTTATAAATTCATCATAACGCACTTATAAAATTAAAAGATGAACTTGAAATTTTTAAAATTTGACACTTAAAATATAACTTGAATTAATTAATCATTTTAAAATTTCTTTATCATTCTCCCTTATATTTTATAGACCAGTAATATATTTTAGAAGACACTATAATTAGAACTCGAGGCAAATTTGCAGTTAACTAAGTTGTGTGTCCTACCATGCTCACGTGCATTATCTCTTCTGTTTTAATTTGATTGGAAATGTTTAAATATAATTGTAATTTTTTTCGGTGAGTTGTTTAAATATAATTTTTAGTGCTGTACCCTTTGGGAGCCAAGTCAATTCAAACCGTACATTTTTTTTCTGAATTAATAAACAATTGCTTTATAGTTTGTTTTCTGCAAAGTCTTCTTCGGCCGCAAAAAAGGAAAGGGAAAAAGAGTGAGGAAAAGAAAAGTCCAACACTACCAATAACGCAACAGATGACTAACTATTACTTATCCTATTGCAGTGTTTAGCGAATTAGCCAAAAAAAATTATATATGTGTGTGCGTGTGTGTGTGCGTGTACGTAGAGAGAGAGAGAGAGAGAGAGAGAGAGAGAGAGAGTTGTAGTACAGTTCTCTCAGCTTGACCTGATAGCCCTACGCACACATAAATGATACGTACGTACGTATACGTACGTACATACAAAGAAAATGGTTTTTAAGTGATCATTAAATGGAAGCTAGAGATCGTGTTTCGCTGTTCATAAGTGTAATTCTCTAAGGAAAACAACATTTATGCTTTTATTTGAATGAAGACAACCTGCAGCACATCAACAGCCAAATTCTTGTTAGTGCTATGAAGAATGAACAATAATGGCCACATGAATAAATAAATAAATATATTAATGCCAACAAGGTAGAAAATAGAAGCAGTATCTTTTATTATTATTTCACAAAATGAATGGACTGTATATTTCTGAGTTAAAAACCTATTCAAAATTTAATTTAAATTATTTTTGCAGAATTGAAACCTTCCAGCATGCTAAAACACAGCAACCAAGGTCTATATATTCAATTCAAACCATCAGCATCAAATGTGACGGTCAAATTACATTAAACAAACCTATCTGACATATTTGAAGTTTTAATATTTTTATTATTTCAAAAATGCAAAACACATGATAAAAATAACATTATTGTAATTTACAAAACAATGCTCAAGTCTAAACATAATTAAAACTTCAGACAATCCAAATTTGTCAGAGCAGTAAACAGTAAAACACAATTAATGCTAGCTATCCCACAATAGTCCAACATTTATTTAGAGGCTTGATTCAACTCAATTTAAATATATGAAAATTGATTTAATTCTTGCTTTTGCATGGATGAAATATTAATCATGGGCCTTACAACAAAGTAGATAAACTAATTAATTACCCAAGCCTGAGAGATGTATCAGAACTATCACAGTCTTGAGGAGGATTAATGTCAGATGAACTGCAAATGATGATGGACTCAGAAGACTGCCCTTGTTCATGCACAAGGCTCTGTACATATAAAGCTCTAGTGTATCTTTGTGTTACACGACTTTCATTTCATAACATCTGAAAAAAGAGGCAATAACTTAGAGGATAAGAGTTTGAAAATCTGCGATCACCTGCTTCGTTCTTTGGTTTTCTTCCTTCAGTTGGATTCCCTGTACATGAAAGTCAAACATATTGCAGTAGCAAACGTGACTGAGAGTGTACGCGGAACATTGCTAGTGTCATAAAAAGCATCACTTGGGTTTTTCTTGAAATCCATTATGTATTAGTGAAATCATATGCATTAGTCTGTTAGAATATGGATCTGAATCTTCTCATCATGGGAAATTTTTAAATTATATATAATGTCATGTGTGAAGAGAAGAGTAAGAATCAAATATCTTCGAATAACCCCGTGTTGTGGAATCTACTACTCAAGAAGGGATTCTCAGAGAACTGATCATTCAAGTATGAACATAAGTGGATCTTTGTGTGTATTACGTTTCATTCCCTACATAATATAAGACACTTTTTTTTTTTTGAAGAATCATGTCAAAAAATATAAGGTGCATTGAATCCTTTAAGGTGTAATTAATAAGGTTTTTTTTTCAAGGGCTTTTTAATTGAGGCAACTTATTAAATAAATAAGAGTAAACATAGAAAAAATGTGTCATTTTACATACCATTAATAAATTTAATGGAGAGTATAAATGAGTTAAGTGTCTTATAACGAAGATTATAAAAAGAGTGGCATATGCATTATTTTCACATACATTAATTGAGTTTCCTAATTCCATATTCTTTTGTGCATTTCACATCCATTAATTTGTGTGCCAGCACCTCACTGATTGAGAAGATTCAGATATTGTTTTGTGACTAATTAAATAGAGGCTACATTCACAAAAATGAAGTTATATCTCTAGTCCAATCAAAAGAAGGATGTCTTGCGTTTTAATAGTTTAGGTATTGATTGTCTTTTCTTATGAGGGGAAAGTACCAAATTTATTTAAGAAATTAGAAATGGTGATCCCAAGAAAACAAATGAATGTAATATTCAGTCAACACTCTCTATTTTCATGTTTTCCTTAGTTGGGCTAATCACTAACCCCTATTTGTTTGGAAGGAAATGAAAAGGAGGGAAGAGAAATTCTAATGAATTCGTTTCAAAAGAAATGGATAGGTGGGGTTATAAAATTTTGAGAATTTTGTAAATTAAAAGAGTAAGCAAAATTAATTAAATATTTTAACCCCACTTCTCCATTTTGTTAAAAATCAAACTCATTAGAATCTCACTTTCCCTCCGTTTCCCTCCAACCAAATAAATATATGAGAACAAGGGGAAGGAATGTAATTGCTACTGTATAGATAGACTAAAAGAGTAAAGTCAAGAAGTTTTTTAATCACACTCTTCAATGGTTTTGTTTCCTCCAATTGTAGAAAGTACAAAAAGTGCTTAAAATAAGTTTTAACATTGATCTTATAACCGGTGTAAAAAGTCTGCAGTCAAGACTTTCTACATTGCCTCTTTCTACACCAGTTTTGGTACTAATGTAAAAAGTTATTTTTAACTGGTGTAAATAATATTTTTTGTAGTAAAGATGTACCTTCTGCAATACTGTGAAAGACCCTTTTTAGGTTTGGAACTACTTCAAGTCTAAAATGGATTGAATACACTTCAGTAAAATTCACATAAAAGTTTTTCCTGCTTCTGGAAGTATAATAAGTTATATAATGAGATTTCCTTTTACAAGCTACTGTACCCATCAATATTTAGACACACACAAAGGATTAAGTGGTTATCAGTTGATAAAAATTGAATAAATTCACATAACATTCTTTGGCGCGCGCGCACATATATAGCAGATCCTAAAATTCTAAGTTTGGTGTAGTATTTACCTTTCTCTTAGGTGCATTGATTTGTTTTAAGATTCTTTCATCCTGAAACAATAATCATAGTAAATATGTTAACTCAACAGCTTGAATGCAATGATTACACAAAATCACAGCTGATAAAGGTATAGGATGAGGAAGAAATCAAGCCCATTTCTTCACACAGTGAAAGATGACTAGCAGTAATAATCACTAAACTAGATTTTTTTTTTGTTTGGGTTTCATGGTAAAGGCATTGCTTTTTTTAAAAAAATGTAAAAATATAGATTTTTAAAATAGAAAATGTGCAGATCAGGTAGATTCTACATCAGCAATAATGTAGGTTTAAGGAAATCTACTGAGTCTTGTGAAAGAACATTAAAAGATATTATAGAAAAAAAAGTCATGGGGCAAAATGTAGGAAGCCACATTGTTCATAACATAGCTTGTGAACAAGGTGAGGTAAGTTCTACAAATTTACAAGATACAGTAACTACTGATTCATGATTGATGAAAAGATATTATATTTCTTCTACGTTCAATTCCTAAAGTAAATGAAGAATGAAATTAATAGCATAAAGGAATCCTAACACTCTTAAAGTTTGTGCCTTTAGGGCTGTTTGGTCCACAGGAAATATGAAAAAGGAATGAATAATAACCATAAATTTATTTGGTATGATACTGAAAATGGAAAAAAATTTGTTTTTGATATTTAAATAAAAAAAATCAAACCAATCAAGATGCCCACAAGGGGGAAAAATCTCCATCATAGATCCACAGATGAAGGGTATTAGTGGAAATAGTGTGATTTTATGGAGGATTGATCACGCTTTTATGGAGAATCATCCTTCCACAAGTCTAGTAACGAGTCTTTTCATAGGATTAGGATTCATACAACAAAAAAAATATAAAACACGCGCCATTTTTTGGGAATGCAATCGAGATTTGGGAGTTCAACAATTCAATCAAACAAACCTTTACTGAAGTTCATAAACTTCTCTGCAGAATACTAGTATAATACATTTTCCTTTCTTTGTATACGCAAATACAAACTTTATACTCCCTACATTCAAAAAATACAAGGAAATTTTTCTGATTTTGGATTTTTAAAAATAAAAGACATTTTTTAATTTTTCAATGTGTAATTAATGACTTTTTTTTTTCCAAAAGTACCCTTAATAAAAAAAATCACTAAACCATTCCTTCACCTTTAAGTAATAGACCCTTTTAAATAAAGAAAAATATGAAAAGATAATATCAATTTAAGGATAGTTAAGTAACTTATCAATAGCATAATTTAATTAAAATGTCTTATATTTTTAAACGGAATGAGTATGGCAAAGTATTATTCCTCTTGTCCCAAAATGCAAGTTACTTTAATTTTAATTATTTTACCCAAACCAATAAAGTTGGTTGAAGTTAATTAATTGAACTTCTTGAACTTTTCAAAAGTTACTTGAACATTCCGAAGTAAACCTTATTAAAGTATAATCTCATATTAATGAAATATCTCTTTTAAAATGTCTCACGGGGAAAATCTGAAAAGATAACATTTAATGCCATAGAATGACTTACATTTCGAGTATCCCAAATCTTCTAAAACGTGACTTAAATTTTGGGATGGAGATGTTCGAATTTTCCTTAGAACTTGACAAACGTTAGAGAGGATAAAGATTGAAGCACAAAAAGAATTAAATCGAAACCTTTGTTTTTGAAACACGGGACAAGTCCCTTTCAAGTCTTTCCTCTAGTGTCTGGAATTCTTCAAGTGTGCATCCTTGAAGCTCTTCCTCATTCAGCTGCCTGTTGAATTAATTTATAGTGCAAATCATCATTTGTCTTAGGAACATAATAATCTTGTGAACATTCATGCATGGTATGCATAGTACAAAGTTGTATACCTCAATTCACGAGTCTTTTCTGCTACTACTGCCTTGTGCAGCTCGTTCTCATCACCTTTAAGCTTGTACGTATTTCAAAAAAAAAAAAAACCCAAAGGAAAGATACAAAAGACTTGAGAAGATTAGCGTATCGTGATTTAATATCCATTATTTCATATATTATCATAAATTGATTTCAACATTATGTCACCATCAAAGCAATGCCCTTTTTGGTTCTTCTGTGGAACTAATTCAGGACCTAGGGTTTTTTGTAGGGCAATTCAGTTTCACTTTTGTTCGTAAGATTAGCCCCTATTATCCTGGAACCTGATCAAATCTAGAAGGGGAAAAATCTTCAAGGGGGGGAGAAGAAAAAGAAGTTATGGACAACAAATTACAAAGAATCAAGATGGAGAGATAATTATAGGTATGACGAACTTAATTTCTTTAGTGAGTTTAAGTCTTCCAAAGAAGGAGATCCCCCTCTTATTTGAGGCATAATCAGATATTAAATTTGTACCTCTCCTAATGAGAATCCAAACTTGGGTTCACTATATTGTGAAGGAGTCTACTAGACCTACTCCTGTGGGTGAAGTAAATCTTTTTTTTTCCCTCTGGTTCATTTGATAATAAGCATTTGCTTAGTTATTCAGTAGTCAAATCCCATTGTCAATTAAATAAGAAAGACGGGCGGGGGGGAGTGTGCGCAAGTCATAATTTAGAGAAACTAGCTAGTAGTTAAGTATGTTATCCAAAATAGAAAAGAAAAGAACAAAGTTAAGTAAACAGAGTAGGCCACATATGTTTACTTGCACAAAACATAAGATATGGCATATCGTTGACAGCTAATAAAGTACAACTTTCTATAACTTATATAACTTATATAAATATATTGATGATTGATATTGACTCATTGATTACCTGCACATCAACAGGTGATTTACCTTGTATTTGAATGGCTGAATGTTGATCATACCTTTCAATTACCTGCTGAATACTGAAACCAACAAAAACAGTAACTCATTTGACTGCCTTTATCCATTTTATTCCATGAAATCAATCAATGCAAAAGATCACATAATTAAGAACCGTTTTATATATGTCAAAATAAATAAAGAAATTCTTCAGAATCCCAATGGTTTTTACTCAGCACCTTCAACTGTGCGGATATTAATCATGATTCAATTGCTTCATCAAATCCATAAAAATATTTATTCATTCGTTGACCCCTTAAGTTCTTGCTTAAGAGAAACAGCAGTATTAAAACACATGCATTGCAATTTAAGGTCAGAAGTAAATAAATAAACAAGAATCATGTAGATTCTAACTAGTGGTCAACTTATAATTCTAACCCTTTGAATTCAATTTATTAAAAGAGGAAGATCATGGAGTTAATGACAACAGTTACAAAAGCTTCTTATCAACTAGATGAGAAATGCTGCTGTATTATCAGATTAAGAAGTTATACAATAAAAATCAAAACACATGTTCCTAGGTAGCTACTTCTATAGATCATACAAAGTGAGAGATGCTAAGTGCAGATGCGCACACACATTGAAAATAATAATAATAATGACTACTCATACTGTTTCATATTGCATTCTTAAATCAATCACTATGATATTGTGGAAACTTCTCTCTCTCTCTCTCTCTCTCTGTGCGTGTTTGAGAATTAAATATCCCTTTGTACATATATGTGTGTGTATAAGAATGAAATTAAGAGTAGAGATAACATATATATATATATATATAAGAACCTTGAGTTAGCATAATCAAAGAGCTTGCCAGTGGAAGAGAAGACCAAGAGAGCAATCTCAGCATCACAGAGACTTGAGAGTTCATTTGCCTTCTTGAAGAGACCTTTCCTTCTCTTTGAGAAAGCCACTTGTCTTGCTGTTACACTGTCTATTTTCTTTATCTGTATCTTTCTTCTCGTCATATCCCCTCTTCTTCATCCGTAACACAAGGTTATTATATACTGTAAATTATACAGTCAAAAAATTCCATATACATATACATATACCTGCATATATATTAGCAGAATCAAAGTGGGCGTAACACTGTACCTGAACTGATTAATAGAGAGGGTATTATAAATGCAGTAAATCCAGTGGTTTCACATCACATAGAGAAAGATCTACAATGTATTATTATTACTACGAGTACTATTCTTCACAAAATCCAAGTATCCCACCAAGAACCGACCGATCAGAGATGAGAATCGGGAAAGAAGTGAGAAAATGTTGCTTTTGTTGATAAACATATAAACTACAGAAAGATTAGTGATCTTGGAAGAATAACAAGAAATAATTGAAAAGAGTCCAATAAATCGAGCTAAGGAAGAATTTCCAACTCAACAATATCTTTGCGACCAAATTAGGAAAGAGAAACTCAGCTATCAGTAGATGAAAAACGGAAAGCGAGAAAAGAAAAGAAAAAAAATCGAGTGTTTCAAAATGAACCTCAAACCAAAAGTTACTGAGAAGAACAAAAAATAAATAAAAACTCCAGATAAAGGATTTTCAGAAGAAAGAAAGTGAAACCGAAGCTCCGGAAAATAAGGAATCCAACCTGGTAGATATTGAAGAGACTTGTGTTATGAATTTCGCAGACTTCTCCTCCTCTCTTGTTCTTCAGCTTTCGCGGTTCGTACGTTAATGGCTTTTCTAAGGAAATTAACATATATGCTTTTTTGCCCTTTTTGGCCAAGTTGATGTTTCCTCTGCAGCCACTATTTTAATTTCATACGCTTCCTTTTTCTGTTCTCTAACATTTAATAGTGGCTACAGTGAGGAAGGATATGAACTTAAAATAGTGGCTGCAGAGAACTTAAAAAGAGAAAGTAAAGGGTCTGTTTTCTGATCAGACAACTTTTGTTTTTATTTATTTCTTTCCACCAAAAAGAAGTTTAAAAAGAATTACTTAATCTTTATTTAAAGGCCTAAATGGTAATTTAGACCTTAAATTATATTTAGGCCTTAGATTATAAGTTTAGAAGTAATTTAAATTATAAACTTATGTTTAATATATTTTAAACTCTAAATAATTAAATTTGAATAATTTTTATTTGAACATTAAATTGGCATAAATGTATGTTATTTTTAAAAATGAGACTAGATGAATAATTTTCATGCTTCTCCTTGCCATTTCACTCATCATCTTCCTTCTCCATCGCCTAAAATCCTACCCCAAGTTTATGGAAGAAACATGAGCAGGCCAGCATTAGCAACACTTAAATTCAGAGGAGTTCCAAGGGTTTCAGATACAAAGAGCTAGAAGTGGCAACGGAGGGATTCACTCAAGCAAATGTAATTAGCAATGGAGGATTTGGTTTGGTGTATAAGGGAGTGCTTAGTGATGGCACTTTGACTGCCATTGGGTTGTTGCACAGAGAGCAGGGGAGAGGGATAGTGTAATTTGATGAGGGTAAAAATTGCATATTCGATTCCACTTTTTTTTTTTAAAAAAAAGTAACGAGCATCTATGCCAACTTGACCACTTAGAAAACTTGCTTTAAGTTAATTATTCAAAGTTAAAATGTATTAAATATAAGTTTTAGGTTTAAACTCTTCCTGAATTTATAATTCATTGTTCAAATTATCATTTAACCTTATTTAAATGTTTTTTTATTAAAAAAATGCTTTTTATGTGTTTGTTACCTTTTCATGTTCCCTCATATTCCTTGATTATAATGGGAGAGGCTCCCTATTGTATGTGAAAGTCAATGTAAAATATAAGAAAAATTCAGTTTCATCAGTTATTAATAATATAATAATTCCTTTGTCAGGATGTGTTAGGTAAGGCAATGAACATTTGGCTGCCTGCTATGTTGGGACTCTACTGTTGGCAACAATGGGAGAAGCAAGGAGAGATGAAGATGGGTTGTGATTAGTGTTCTCTTGGTTCCATGACTCCATTTGGATGTTTTTATCATTATCACAAAAAGAGGGTGAGTCAATTTTTTATTGTTCTATTAATTTTCATGCATTTATTAGAAGTATATAGGATAAAATTGAATTTTACAAACATTAAGAAATTTGAATTAAGACGTATAATTAATTTATGTAAGAGATAAATGAAAAATAAAAATCACTATATAAGGATATAATGAAAATTAGTTATTATCTCACCTCCCTTACTTATCTTAACCAAACAAAAGATTATTAAAGATCCCTCCTCTCCCCTCTAACAAAATGAAATAAAGTAATATAAAAACCCACCCTCCCCTCCCCTCTTCACTAGCAAGCAGACACACCCTTAAGCAATAGAAAAGTAGCTTAGGTATTTAAATTTATACGCTAAAGTATATTTTTAATTTTTCAACTTTATATATCTTTTTAGTCATTAATTCCAATACTGTTACTTTTAAATGATTTTTTTATGTCAAACATTATTATTTTTTTAAAAAATCAAATTTAATATATCAACATTTAAAAATATCTTGTCAATATTTTAAAGTTTTATGTAAAAGATTTTTGTTATAAAATTAACGGTGTCAGGGTTAAAAGACTAAAAAGATACTTTATAAAATTAAAATATCAAAATAAAATCTTATATTAAGTTAAAGGACTAAAAATATAATTTAGCCAAATTTATATATTTCAAGTATTTCAAGTTAGCTTCCAATAAAACCGAGACATGGTAGTGTTCCCACTGTGAAATTAAATAAACTAGGTAAATGCATATAAAACAAAATACATTCAGTAGATATGTGAATTTCAAGTGTATGAGGGGGCAAAAAAAGCAAAAAGTTTAACTTGTCACAAGTGGTAATTTATCAATAACACAGTTAATTTTTTTGTAAATTTTATATAATCAATATATTAATATATAGTTTAAAATTTAAAAGAATCATACTATTCATAAAATTTAAATCATGCAACTTAGTTCAAACTTTATAGGAATACATTATTAGAAAAATAGACTCGTTAAATTCCATTTTAGCAAGGGACAAATTCATAGCTAAAAAAAGGTTCGCTAAATTTAAAGAGGGTTCATATTTTCCTTACTAATTAGCGAGGGATTTAAAGAGAGATTCAATCCCTCACTAATTTTTAGCGAGGATTCAAAATTTGATAACTTTAGCGAGGGATTAGTGTTGATAACTTAACAAATTCCCCACTAAATATGCCTATATTTAAAAATGGTGATACAACATCATTCACCATGTGTGCTTCAAATTATGACATGTCACTAACAATCTTGTGCCTCATCAACTGCATTGTCATCTGCCATCTCGTGCCCTGTATGTGATAACTCATAACAATTCACGTTGCGCCATGTTACTTACTCCTTATTATGTCATATATTCATTATGTTTATACTAAAGTTAAGACTTGTGATCTCATACCTTTTAAGCCTTGTGCTCTCCTTCTTTGTCAATTAAACTGAAAAGCACTTGTAATTGTTATATGAGAAATTAAATATATATTATTTAACTACATAAATATATCAAATAATATATTACAAAAATACACACATATATACATATTAAATTTTATTTTCAATTATTAATACATTAAACATATTTACATTTTATTTAAATTATTATTTATATTATATTTTTAATAAAATATTATTTTTCAATGAAAATCAACTTAAAATAAAGAAAATATTAAATATTAAATAATTTTATTATAAATATTTTAGTTAATTTTTAAATTTATTTTTTATTTTTAAATAAACATAATTAAATATATAATCAAAAGTCATCACTAAAGTTTAAATTTTTTTTTTTGCATTAATTAGTTAGGGATAGAATCTCTCACTAATTATCTTATTTTTCTAAGAATATATATACGTAAGAGGCATGGCCCCAGATGATTATTGATAGAGGAAATTATCTTAAAAGACAATAATTTAAGTTGTTCTGGGCAAAAAATAATTTAAGTAGGGCATTATGGAGCATTTCTTTTTCGGGAACTGCAATGTGAGTATTTTTATTATAAATTACATGTTAAATTTTATATCAAAATTATTTTAATTTCAGGAGCAAAGTTTCCCATGCAGAAAGTTGAAAAGATGAAATGTAGAGTATCACTAAAGGATATACATGGAAAATGGAATCAATTTTCATACATTAATTAATTTAATCATTTTTTTGACATGTGTCCATTAGTATAATTAAGGATAGAGAGAGTATAACTCTCAATGTGTGTGTAAGTTTGAAGCAAAAACATGTAGTGGTATTATGCTATGTAGCATTAAAATATTTGTAGAATGACAAACGATGGTACTAAAAGTATGGATGCGTTGGCCAAAAAAAAATAATAGAGAGAGAAGTATGAATACACCATATAATTATTTTCTATTAAGTTTTCACATTTTAGAAACATTAAATGATTTTTTTTTATGGAAAGACTCAATGTTATATTTTTACACAAGTTAAGTGCTTGAGTAAATTATTTTGATATTTTTAAATAAAATTTACTGCTACTAAAACAAAAATGAATATAACCATAAGCTGACAATTAATTTCGTGTTTAAATAGAGATTTAGAAAGAGAGAAGAGAATATTCATAAAGTAAGAAAAGAGATTATTCTCATTTTTAATGTGTTGAATACAACTGAAATATCCCCTATTTATAGGCACAGATGTAATCAACTATCATAAATAAAATATAAAATAATAATAACTAAAAGATATTAGAATAACCTAAAAATATCAAAGTAATCGAAAGATATAGACATTCACATAATATCTTAAATTTCATAACTCTCCCCCTTGGATGTCCATAAAAGGTATTGTGTCTTATTAAAATTTTTAGAGAAAACCCAATGAAACAAAATCCTAGTGAAGGAAAAAAAAGTATACAATATACTTTTAACATTGCCCTATTAAAGACCTTGCCATGAAAAATCCAATGAGAAAAAATATGATCAAAGAAACAAGAGTACAATATATATAAGCTTCCCCTCATGACTAGATCAGTCAATATTCTTAAACCTGTGAACTCCAATGTTGTATATAAACTTCTCAAAAGTTGAAGTAGCAAGTGCTTTAGTCAACAAATATGTTAAATTATTACTGGAAAGAATTTGTTGAATTTAGATTTCTGAATATCATGTGTGAAGAAGAATTTTGGTGAGATATGCTTTGTTCTATCTCCCTTAATATGTCATTCTTTCGACTGAGCAACACATGTTGCATTATTTGCACATATGATTGGTGGGGTGATTTTTTTAGAAGAAAGACCACAGGTGCTTTGAATGTGATAGACCACATATTTTAACCAGATGCATTCTCAGCTTACTTCATGCATTGCTGAATTTTTTGCATGTTTAGAAGATGCGGCTGCTATAATCTGTTTCATAGATCACCACAAAATAGTAGTGTTGCCATAAGTAAACAAGTAGCCCCTTTGAGATCGACCATTATGAGCATCTGATATGAATCCTACATTTGCATAACTCATTAAATTTGTTTGATTTTATTAGAATATGATAAAGCCATATCCTTAGTACCTCCAAGTAACCTAGAATATGTTTAACTCCATTCCAATCTTTTGTTGTTCATGAAAAACTATATATTGCTAATAGATTAACAACATATCATACATCAGGTCCTTTATGATAAGCAAGATACATTAGCATTCCAATAGCATTAAGATATGGTAATTTTGGAGCAAGTAGTTCTTAATCATTTTCTTGAAACTTAAAAGGATCTTTGCTCTTGTCTAAAGATCTAGCAGTTGTTGGATTGCTTAAATGATGTGTTTAGTCCATATAAAATCG